GATGCTGAACTGGATGTTGTATTCAGTTGAATCAGTTCAGCAGTTTTGCTGGATGTTAGACCAAACATGCTTGAATGCATTCATGTGTTGAGTGGGTTTTGAAGGTGGTAGGAGTGGTGTTGGAGGATAAAGTGGTGGGTGGTGCTGGTGGTGGAGCTGATGTGGCCCCATGAAGTGATGGGAGGTGAAATTGAAAGCAGTGTTGTGGGAAGGAAGGTGGGGTGCATGCATACATGATAGCTGAACATTATTAGCTTTCTCCTCAAGTCTATGATCCCCCCACCAGGTGCAAGTGATGATGAATAGCTCACATCCCAACCTGCAAGACTGATCTCCCATGCTAAGCTCTGGGATGCAACAGCAAGAGTCTCAACTCTCAAGCGTCTCGTCTGTCATGGTCTTCTGCATTGCTTTTCATGACCTGTGCTTTCCTGGTTTCTTGGTCAAGTGTGAGCATCTATCATCATCTTCATTGTACTTATTGTCGGCCTCAAGTGGCAGCACTCGAGAAAGATCCTCTAGCTCCTTGACTAGCAAACACATGCTTGGAGCCCTGCTCAATGACTGACTACACACGAGTGGTGTGCACAGTGCTGCATGGGATGATAGGGCAATGAGAGGGTGGGCATGATGATAGTGGGTGTCCAAGCATTGACAAGGCAGTGCTTGATAACAGAGCTTATAGGAGAGTAGACTACAGAGAGGCATGAGAGAGGCACTACTATCCTCAGAGGTCTCATGCTCACACAAGAGGGTAGGTTTCAAAGACTAGTTACACTCTACAAGGAAACTGGGTCTCTTAGACTGTGGGAATGGGGCAAAAGTGCTGCCAAGGGTGATGTGACTAAGGAAACTAATAACCTCTGCACTAGTTCACTACTAGCTAGAATTCCTTAGGTGGCACAGCAGCTGCGCCTCAATGATTTCTGTCCACTTATAAGTATGAATCTGCTATCAGGTCTGTTGACATGATATCTGTTGTTTGATTTGTAATTAGTCTCACACTACATTAATGCAGAGGGAAATCCTTCAGCCTAGGAGACTAGTTATACAAGTTGCAGATGTTGTCAGTGAAGCAGCCATGTGATCAGTGAAATCATCACTACCTTGGTGCAAAATACATGTGCCCCAACTGCATACACAGCCAGAGATTCACATTTTAAAATGATTGGTTGATGAAATTGGTGACTAGACACCATTGCACTGGCCAGCAATGACCTTGCTTTAGCAGGTTATTATTAATACTTGTCTTTTTATTGGATCCATTTTATGCCTACATTTTACTTTCTCATAGCTGAGGTAAAGAAACTATCAGGATTCAGATTACTCAGAGAGTTTGATCATGAATTACTTACCCATCATCCCTCTGGAGACCTTCAGAAAGAGAATGAAAGACTCTCTGGTTCTGATTTGGCCACAGCAACCACAAATAGTAATGGTATTAAAGATACAGGGTAACTGTAGGTACAGAGTCAGACATAGGAATGGATGGCATTAGCTGACCAGGGGACCTACCTTGCTTTCTAGATCACTCTCAATACTCTTGCTAACTCACCAAACTTTGGTGTGATGCTTGCACTCCCTTTACTAGACCAACACAAAACAGTCTGAGCATGTTGGTGTGAGTTATCAAGATGTGAAGAAGGTGCATAGCCATCTCTGATGTCAATTGAGCTTTCTGGCTTGATATTGACCATTGGCATGTGGTGATTTAGGGTTAGGGTTAGGCTCCAGCAACCTTCTCAAGTAGATGATCAACTCATCTAGATCTCATCCAAGAAATCTAGATTCAGATGTTCCACCTCCATATGCTGCAGCTGTAGCAGCCACCACCCTGACTACTTGCATCAACTCTGCTGTCCATGGGGTAACTACCAACCTGCCTCTGGCATATGAGTCTACCACATCATCTCATACTAATCAACCTCCTACAGTAAGCTGTGTTTTCCTTCTAGACTTTAGCAGCCTTTGCTCACTTTTGCACCTTTCTGCATTTAATCTAGAACATGGAGGCTTCTAACCCCTGCTGTGTGTACTATGCTGTCAGAATTGGAACTTCTTTACAGATGTGATTTTGAGCTTATGCTTAGTCTTGGGTCATGGAGGCTTGAAGGGTCAGGTGAGGATTGTGAGGCATGCATTGTGCACACAAAGGGGCATTTGTTGGTAGGACATCTTTGTCAATGAGAATGCCCTTGATCAGTGTCATGCATGTCAGCAAGACAGCTACCAACTTTGCCATTAACCTTGATGAGGTCAAAGGGAATATCATAATGTTCAAGGTCTGCAACTATCAGAACAGCATCAACCACGATCTGAGCGAACTGCTGCAGCTCCTTCAACACACTTGGCCATATTTAAAGCATATTCAAGGAAAGAAAGAAAGGACTAGTGCACATTTTGCTGCCTAGACAGGTGATTGCAGTCCTGGGAAATTTTTCTTTGTTCTCAGGTGAGAAGTTGACATGATTTGAGATGCTGTTGAGCTTCTCACAGGCAACAGCACAGGCCTGGTCAAAGCTATCTGCTATGAGGGGCCCAAAATCAACCCAGACTAATTTCAAGACCCAACAATATGTATGGCCTCTTTGCTGGAGTGACTTATGAATAGTATGATAAGGAGGCTGACAAAATATAAAATGACAATGATCAAAAATGGACTCATGGCGTTGGGCACAGGTATGTGCTTTCTAGCTGGTTATATCATTTCATTGTGTTCACTCCACTTTGTTTTTATATCCAGGGAGGTGAGAGAAAATGCAGGACTTCCAAAGCAGAAAGTCAAGTGCCTGAAATTCAGCAAAAACAGCACTAACCTGAAGCATGGTTTGTTCATTGTCATAGACCTGGTAGGGGGCAACCTACATCACATGGACATAGCACTCAAGAACATCCCCAACACCATTGTAATGGGCAAGAACTGCAAGGGAAACCAAGGCCAAACCTCTATAGCAGGAGGCTGCAGCTCTATCTATCAAGGACTGACTATGACAAGCTGCAGGACTACTGACTATGAGCCAGGACTCCTGCTACTGCACCAGAACCCCTGGCACTCCCTGTGATCTGCACCAGACCATCCTGGCACCCCATGCCAGATCTCCCCACTACACCATTTGGATATGGAAGGAGGCTGTCAATATTGAAGAATTAGCTACAGGTGCCTGCATACTCTGACTAAATACAGATATAGGTATGATTAATCCTCAGTCTCAAATAAAAATGTTTGTATTATGTAAGTAAAGAGAAACAGTAAATTGGCACCATGGTTGTGTCCAACATTAACAAGCATTGAGTTATAGTCTACAACCTCAATATCCAACATACTCCTCTCTAATGCTATGTGGGTGATCCCTCTTTCCATTCACCTCTGGCTGGCTCTTTCCCATCTTGAAACACCTGAGCAGGCCAAAGTCATCTCTACTGGAGATTTGCATGTCCAATGAAGACTGGAAGCTTAAAACCTTTAGTTCATTGGCTATCTAAATAACCTCAACTCAATAATCTGTGGACAGGAAAATCTGAAGCAATCTGTCTGTGAGTTGAACATGATGTTGAAATCTTCAAGAGATACCAGTCATCCTCATTGAACATGCATAGGAAGGTCTGCTCGAATATTGACATAGCATATGAATCTGATAGTACAAAGGCACTGTTTGTTAATTTTGGCAAGCATTTCATTTCAAGCAAGCCCACTTGATCCAAGCAACCAGAAAAGAGATTGACAGTGTTCACACCATACTGATGACATTGTGTGGAGCTGGTGACAATGTTGTAAAAAATCTTTGAGCAGTAGTTAAAGATATTACGAGAGATGCAACTGATGATATGGACATGTCTCAAATCTCGGGTTGAATTTTTGTGACACCTGCAGTTGTTTTTTTCTCATCACCTGCTGAGCTCAATTCTCCTGCTATCCCTTCAATTTCCTTCACATCCTCGAGTCTGATCTTCTTTCTTGGGATAGCTTCAAATGCCTCAACATCTAAATTGGAGTCAGGATCCTGTTGGCATTTGACTGATCCAACTATCACAGTCTCTGTATCAGAATCAGATTCTGAGTCTGAACAGACTGTGAAGAGTGAGGGTGGATTGGTAGGTTGCTACGAGGTAGAATTGAAGTCATGCTCACTTATCAAGGTGCAGTGACTCCCTGCTTCTATACAGCTGTAGCATGGTCAATCCCTCAATCCCATACATTTTATGTCTCCTAGAATGCAGGAGTCACACATTGGGAGATTAGGTGTCAGGTGGGGAGGTCAAGTAGTAACCATCTGAGCTCTGTTAGTAGGAATGCATTAAGAAAATTGCTGTGCAGAGTTTGCAGACATGATTGGAGGTTTGACAGAAATTTTTTCCCTTCCAAGCTAGCCGAGGAATGAGGTCTGGCACAGAACTTATCCACATCTAATCCTCCATTAAATCACAGACAAATACTTCATCCAAAAAATTGCCAGCAAATTAAATAATATTTTGTCTCTGCAAAGTGACTGCTCCATTAATATTGGTAATCATGATAGGTCAGCCAACAGGACCCACTGGCCTTTAGTGTGGACAATGTCTGTGACAGGTGGACTCATCTGGTTATATGTTACCTCACAGGGGACTAGAGGATATGTACTGCTAACCTTTAGTACCATGACCTTATGTTTTGTCATTTAGTTGCAATTTATTACCAGTTCATATTGATCTGCATGTCACGATTGCAAAAATTCTCAAATTTAATGTACAGCCATGGATAAAACAGATTAAGGGTATGGACTGTGCTCCTTTTGACCACTATTTTCCAGCAGCCTGCATAATACTGGTGACAATTCCCATGCTACTGGTGACACTCCACATGGCCCTAGACAGCATCTGTATGGCCATCAAATCCCTAAGACACTATGACTCTTCAATACAAAATACTTCTCACTTGCTTGTAATCTATTTAGCTACAAAACTAACTCTGCATGGTTGACTGGCATGGCTTGTACATAAAGATGAGTGCAGTTAACATGATCTGAGATGCTGTCAAGCTCCTCACAGGCAACAGCACAGGCCTGGTCAAAGCTATCTGCTATACAGATGGGATGAATGTCATGGTCTAGTAGATCTTTGCTCTGCTCCAAAAGTGTACCAGCCAGTACTTCAAATGGATTTCAATAAGAGGAAAGAGATGGTCACAAGTGAGGATCGCATTGACAACACCAGTGGTCCCATCTCCAATCTCATCATCCTAGCTTTTGGACAGCTGCATGAGGAGCTTTCAATTTGATGCTTGACCTCCATTTACCCCAAATAGTTGCATTGTTATTTGAGAGCCTTGTTCACAGCATGATTGCATGCAATGGACTGTCTTGCAGAGCTTGAGGTTATCAGATTGGAGATATCTGACTTCAGTGTGGAGTTTAGAGATGGCATGGTAGAGTTTGTGGAGCTCCTGGGGATGGATTAATGTCAGGTGTGGTGAGCAATAACACAAGAGGTGGAGTAGAGACATGAATGCAAATGGAACACCTGAAACCAACTTCTCCAAGCTCTGCATTCCATTGCTGGAAATGATCTCACTGGCTGGTCACAACAGGAAGGACTGATGTATTGGTGTTGAGCATGTGGTGCTTGGGCCTGCTATGTCCTGTGATATCAATTGTATTGACTGCCAGAATCAAATTTAGACACACCTTGGTCCATAAGCTGAACTTGAGCTCCAGCCCTAAAATCTGACTCTCCCCACTCTCCCAGCCCTCCTCTCTTGGCCTGCTTCCACTGTCGGTGTTCAGAGTGAGTAGATCTGTCTTGAGTTTCTCACATAGGACTTGTTACTTGGCAAGTTCTGTGTGTGTCAGCAAGGTCATCCTGTGTGCTTTTGAGGGAAGCTTCAAGTGATCTGTAGAGGATCTGTGAAATAAAAAGTTTGAATGAAGCATAATGTAGAGGCCAAAATTAACAGTAAATACTCCCTAAATTGAGTCAACTCTTCCCATTTATTCTTGTCATGAGGAGCACCTTGAGACTCTTGATGTGTTGTACAGTTACCTTATCCACATTTGGATTTGGCAGATACACATGGTCCTTGTCTTTGTCTTTGTGAGGACTTGACCAATCATCATCTGGGTTGAGACCTGTGAATTCAACATACAGTGGCTCAAAAAACTGTCCACATGTTTTGATATTTTTCACTATCTATGATATTGTGTGAGAACAAACAAATGCCTCAAGGACATGGTTATACCACATTGTAGTATGGCTTCAGGGCTTTCATTTGAGCCCTACACCAGGGGAATCGGTGGAGATATGGTGGAGATACAAGGCTCACAAAATGGTGACTCATGCAGACAGTTTTTTGACTCAAGTATTTTACAATAATAACCAGGTATTCTAGTATTTTGTATGACCTCCCTTGGCTTTAATTACTGCCTCTATCCTTCTAGGCATACTCTCAATTAATTTCTGGCAATCCTCAGCTGTGATCTTTCCCCATTCCACTGCTACTCTCTCCCAAAGCTCCCATACTCCTTTAGGGGGGTTTTCATAGGCTTGAAGCTTTTTCTTGAGTGTTCCCCAGAGATGTTCAATGACATTGACATCAGGAGACTGTGCTGGCCAGTCAAGAACATTGATGTTATGTTCTTCAAACCATTCCTTAGCTCTTCTGGATGTGTGCTTGGGATCATTATCCTATTGGAAAATGATATCTTCTTCATCAATCCCTGATTCTGCCAAGCTAGGCAGCAAGTGGTCATTTAAAATGTCCACATACTGCTCAGCATTCATCTTCCCCTCAACCTCAGCAAGCATTCCCACACCATTCCATCCCATACAGCCCCATACCATTAAAGAACCTCCTCCAAACTTGACAGTCCCATTAACCTCTCTGTCTGTTAGGCCATCTCCCTTCTTTTTCCATACATATACCTTCCATCTGACCCAATCCTATTGATTTTGGTCTCATTTGACCATATAACATGCTTCCAGTCCTCTACAGTCCAGTGTTGATGAGCTAAGGCAAAGGCTAGTCTTCTCTACCTATGTTTGATGGAGAGAAGAGGCTTTTTCTTCTTTGTTACTGCCTTGAGATGAGCTGCCTTGAGAACATTCCTCACAGTTTGTGAAGAGACAGGGGTAGTGATGGTGGAATTGATATAATGGGTGGCTTGGACAGCATTATCAGCCTTTCCTGTAGTGATATGTTGGATAGTAGCCCTTTTGTCAGTAGAGGTAAGCTTGGATGGACGTCCTCCACAAGAGTTTTCCTTGTCTGGGTGGCTTTATTTGATAAACTTGGCCACAGTGGACTTGCATACTCCCAGTTCTAGAGGAAATTTGGTGAGCAGAGAGGCCAGCATAAGACAGAGAGAGGATATTATCTCTTTGAGCAGAGGAGATGGCTTTCATGGTGATTATGACTATGATACATGAGATATTAGTATAGTCATAAAATAACATAATGACACCACTTCATAATTTATATAATAGTGGCATGATTTTTGTGGTGTCATAAATAATGATTTATATAGTTTTAATATACACTCAAAAAACTGTCCACATGAGTCATCATTTTATAAGCCTTATGTCTCCACCATATCTCCACCAATTTCCACGGTGTAGGGCTCAAATGAAAGCCCTGAAGCCATACTACAATGTGGTATAACCATGTCCTTGAGGCATTTGTTCGTTCTCACAAAATATCATAGATAGTGAAAAATGTCAAAACATGCGGACAGTTTTTTGAGCCACTGTACTATCATGGGGTTGACACAATGAGAATGACACACAAGGGAAAGATGCACCTTTAGAATCTCCAGTTCTTGCTTCATGACTCATTGTAGTCTGTGTGTGTTATTAGTTCTGTCATTGGAGCATCTACTTCTGTGGGAGCAGCATTTGCTTTGCAAGCATGTGGAATATCTATTGTTCCTGTCAATCAATCATGTATTGCTGGGCTCAAAAAAAAAGCCACTTTCTCTAAAATCCACTCCTTTGATCATGCTGTGGTGTTTCATGCAACATCAACAGCACCTTCGAGTCTTGTGCACTTGGACTCAAGCTCTGAGAGACAAAATGTTAGAGATCCAACACTGTTTAAATATATGCACATCAGTTGAATTGAGAGCACATAGACAAGCAAAAATACTCAGAAAGAGTGGGCAGAGGGAGAAGCAGAATGAAAGATGAGAAACAGACATACAACTCACTGCTTTCACTGCCAGTGTGCAATGTCTCAATCTCTCCATGGAGCACTTCCTATGGGAGAAGTCAATGTCAATTGAATTTCAAAGGGGCAAAACATATGAAGAAGTTGCAGTAACAGGAAGGAAAATAGCAGGGTAAAATGTGCTTATCGCAATGAAGGGAGGTGGTCATATGCCAACCCAATAGAATAGAGTATATGACAGCTGTGTGGTAACTGGGGGTGCATGCATGCAAAATGATGCATAATAAATAGTATAGAAAAACAGCAAATTCATGAACAAGGGATAGAGGCTGACAAAACTTACATGTTGCTGCTTGACTGGTTGCAACCCTGCTATTTGTGCATTCCAAGTTGGCCATGATCATGTCAGCTTCAGCAAGATGGGAAATAATCTCATGGTCTGAGTAGAAGTGTCAGTGTGCAAGACAAAAGGTACAACAATGAAGTGAACAGAAGGGAGTGGAGGAAGGAATGCAGCATAGCTCACCCTGATGCTGGCTGTGATCAAAAAGGTTTGCCTGATTTGATTCATTTGATGGTCAGAGGTCACGCACTTAGTCCCTACTAGATAATGTAACCTTGCACTGCAAGTCCCATTCCCTGAACCTCCATTGGCACTGTGCAATTGCAAAACACCAACCTAAACCAACAACACACCACGTAGCACTCTGCATGATTAGGCATATGTTCATCATACACAGCATTGATCTTGGACCCCTGCACAACAAGCTCATGCATATGCACATCCAGCTGTTTGATGTGGCAGTTTGAACACATCAAAAGTGCTAGATGACTGTCAAAACCCAGTGTTCTCACCATGCAATTGAGTAACTTTGGCCTCCAGTATGTGAGCCTCTGTGGCTTTGACTGTTTGGTCCTGTGCACATGTGAATGTGTGGAGAAGTGAAGTATATGTGTGAGATACACAATAGCAGCTTCAAGCAGGGGATATGGATATGGTACTTTGGCAAGGACCTTGTACATGTTGAGGAACACATTCTCAGAAATGTTTGGCCACTTCATAAGGCTGTCGATTTCTGTCTAGAGTTAGCATCTGATAGCAGGTCACTGAGAAGAGGATATGCAGACTTTTGAGCAGGCCTTTGAACAAATTCAGCTTCTCATCATCTGGGATCTTCTTGAACTCTGCAGAATGTTCAGGTCAGCAAGCTGCTTGCAACCCAATACAGACTCCTTCTGGTCATCAATGATCTTGATACCTTGGGTGCCCAGTGTCTTTTGCAGCTCCTGCAGCTAGATGTACTATATGCTTGTTCATGTTAGCTCATTGTGCAAACACAACAATGGCTAGTCACTTGTTAAAGTGCCTAACCAAAAATATTGTTGTAGGTCAATGCTCTGCCTAGCTGCTACACTTGCAAGCAAGAACATTCAACCCTAAAGGAAATTGCTACTGAGAACGGGTGATGATACTAAGGACCCAAAAGTGTGCAGAGCACAGGGACAGGTGTGTGGGTATGTAGAGTGCAGGAATGCAGAAGTGCATAATGCTAGAGTAAGGGGTAGGGAAGTCTTAAGGAATGGCATGGGTAACAAGTGAGGGCAAGGGTATTGATTGCACAGGTAAGGAAAGTCAAGACAAGGTGTCCAGGTATAAGGTAACCAATAGGGGCTAAAAAGTCCATACTAATGGTGACTGCTCCTAAGTAAAACCTATGGGAAGGAAATACTGTAGAAGGGAAGTAAATACGAAGTAGTCACCCTAGGCACTTTATACTAGCTAAACCCTCTCAGAAACAGAAGTGACAGGACAGACAGGCAGTAAGAATATGTAAAGACATGTAATAAGACTGCAACACTTGTTACAACACATGAGGTAAGGCACAATACGTACCAATGAGGTAGGATGGACAATGGACTGATGTGGGACATCTGTAAGGTATTCTGAAGGCATGGGAAATCGACCACAGGTACCTGTGCAGCACAGGAGTGAATGTGTGGGTCCGCAGAGCGTGGGAATGCACATCCAGGGTGGGTTGAGTGTGTGAAAAGCGGTCAATGCAGAGTGGTCATGTATTGATGCACCTTTCCATCACCTATATCAAAAGATGGCCATTGCAAGCCTAGTGGGAATATGATCATCACATCATGTTGCATATATAGTTGGCTTTATGTACCCTTTGTTTGACAATGTCATCATGATGATTGGTAGGTACATTCAATGCACTCTGTGCAACCCATTCAGGATCTACTCCCCAATTCTTGAAGAACTTGTCTCAGTAGGATTCAAAAGCAGGGAAAACAAGCATTTCATGGACAGCTTTCCAAGTGCTATCAAATGCACCCTCCACCCAAGCATGCTGTACACTGATGGCTTTGTCAGTGAAATGAAGATAACCTCCCACAGCAGGATTGTCGAGGCTTGTGTAAATATTTCTGAACTTTCCTGGTCCAAAGAAAGCAAGGGCACCTTGAAAAAAGAATACAAGTGAGATGATCAAATTGAAGACTTGAGGGTGCATGGTGCTGACCCATTGTACAGTGGCTCAAAAAACTGTCCACATGTTTTTGCATTTTTTACTATTTACAATATTGTGTGAGAATACATAAAGACCTCAGTGACATGCTGATACCATATTGTAGTGCTGCTTGAGGGCTTTGGATTGAGCACCACATTGTGAGAATCAGAGGAGATATGGTGGAGATACAAGGCTTACAAAATCATGACTCATGCGGACAGTTTTTTGATTCTCAAGACAGCTCATCTCAGGTCAGTAACAAGGAAGAAAAGGCTCTCCTCTCTATCACACATATACAGAGAGGACTAGCACCCTTCTTTTTTCACATATATACCTTGCCATCTGACCCAATCCTATTTATTGTGGTCTTATATGATCATATAACATGCTTCCAGTCCATGTAATCCAATTCTGATGGGCTAAGGCAAAGGTTAGTCATCTCTGTTTATGTGTGATAGAGAGGAGAGCCTTTTCTTCCTTGTTACTGACCTGAGATGAGCTGTCTTGAGAATGTTTCTCACAGTGTGTGAAGAGACAGGGAATGTGATGGTGGAATTGATGTAATAGGTGACCTGTACAGCATTATCAGCCTTTCCTGTAGCAATATGTTGAATAATAGCCCTCCTATCAGTAGAGGTGAGCTTGGATGGATGCCCTTCACAGAAGTTTTCCTTGTCTGTGTGACTTTCTTTGATGAACTTGGCCACAGTGGACTTGGATACTCCAGTTCTAGAGGAAATTTGACAAGCAGAGAGGCCAGAATAGGAAAGAGAGAGGATATTATCCCTTTGAGCAGGGGGAGTGGCTTTTATGGTGAATATAACCATGACATATGGAAATTTTTGGTTTGTATAGTTAGATATGGTTTTAAAATGACATAATGACACCACTTTATAATTTATTTAATGGTGGCATGATTGTTATGGTGTCATAAATGATGATTTATATAGTTTTAATATGTGCTCAAAAAACTGTCCGCATGAGTCATGATTTTGTAAGCCTTGTATCTCCACCATATCTCCTCTGATTCTCACAATGTGGTGCTCAATCCAAAGCCCTCAAGCAGCACTACAATATGGTATCAGCATGTCACTGAGGTCTTTATGTATTCTCACACAATATTGTAAATAGTAAAAAATGCAAAAACATGTGGACAGTTTTTTGAGCCACTGTATATGAATCATGGGACCAACTCCATCCCTTGCATTTGATCAGCTGGTTACGTAGATAGTTTATATCAGCATTGTGTGAATATGTCAGCTCCTTCATCACAAGCTGTATCAGTGTTGCATCATCTTTGCCTATCAATGCACCCAGCCTAGTAGCATCCTCTGTCTAGAAATAGCTGGTGATAAGTGCAGTCATTGTCCCAGCCTGGACAAATTCTACAGGAAGGATAAATGACATTGCACAAAGGCCTGTCAGTGCATGTCTGCCCTCCAACTATATTCAGAGGATTTCCATACCTTTCAGGTAGGATTTCCCAAAAATCTATAGGGAATCTTCCAGTAATGTTTCTGGTTTTGCATGACACTAGTGGTAGGAGGTTGTGGCATGAGCAGAGACTTGGCGCACAGAGACCTCCGGAGAGTTTGCCAGGCGCATTCAAATAGATGGTGTGAGCAAGAATAGTATGTACAATGTCAGAGCTATATCAATCAAAATAGACAAATGAAAGAAGCCCAGTAGAACACTAGTACAGTACTGAAAAGAAATTTCATGATAGACTGGTTACAACCCTAAGACTGACTACAATCAGACTGGAACATCAATGTTAGTTAGCAAGGTGGTGCTGCTCATCATCTTACATGATTTTGAAAGGGCCAGTCAGAAGCTAGACAATAGAATATATAGGCCAATAACTTATGAAGACTATGAGGGGAGCTTCCTTTTCCCCTCTCGCGTTCACAGACTGAATGCCCACATCGTCCAAGCCATTCTTCCTCAGCTCCTCAGGGAACCAGAATGGGGCATCTCTGAACCAATCATTCCGCCACTCACCTATTGTGGATGGTTCATTTTAGACCTGTTGTAACACACATCAGTGGGAGGTGAAATGAATTATGGAAGAAGAACTTACTACCTGTTGGACAGGCCACCTCCCTGGTATCTCCCACTTCAACCAGTCTACAATCCAAGGCTTGGATTCAGATTTCTCCAGGCTTAAATCCACACTTTTAGACAATGACTGCATAGTATTATATTTTCACAATGTTGATGAGGGTGAGAAGATGTGAGAAAGGTAAGAAACCAGAAAGGTCAAAAGGTGCTGTTGCCTCCTTCCTCTTTCAACAGCTATGTTACCAGGATCATTTCTATTAGCTCAGCCTCATACACAGTATGTTCCTCATTGCTCCATGAGACATGGTTGCCACTAACCAACCAATGAGCCTGGTCGCTCCTGGTGACATATTGAAAATTCAATTACTCACTCTGACTGTGCTTTGCAGGTGCACAGTCCATATTGTCATATTAATATATCCAATACATTGTAACTACCATGAAAAATAGGATACAATAATACTGTGGTTTACCAGTGGCTATGAGCTAGTACCAGAGATGTATCTGGGATCTGCCACTGACAGGCACAACATACATCCTATTGCAGTCAAGCATTCCCATAATATTCCCACACATGGTATTTTCGCATTTCCTGGCCACACAGTGTGGGAATTACCCCACAACAGCAAAAACATCACCCATTTTTGGGAATCACCACAATATCAATTATTCCCACACTCTCCCCACCTCACTGCAGCTTCACCACTACTCCACAATAGGTCCTCCTTCACATACAAGTAGGAGTTTGGTATATATATATATGTATAATATGATATAATAGACTGCTTTTTTTGTTCATTTGTGTGCCTGCTTTTCCTCCAGGGGCCATTCAACATATGGTAGGATATAGAACACTTTCGCACTTTTACCTCATTGATAGGGAAGTGTTCTAGTATATTATTAACATGTTTAGGAGCATATATACAGAAAAATACAAAATATGTTCTGATGTGTTTATTTCTAGGTGGATAGGCTTGGAAAAACTATCCCCAACATCTATGCAACAGTAGTAAAGATGTATCAGGAGCTCAGGCCCATAGGACAAGACTTTGTTGTGTATTGCATCCTCCCTCTCCTGGTGATTTACCCTCTGTGAGATTTTTTCCTGTATGACTGGACCTCAAGAAGGGTAAGGATTCTATTTCTATGTATATTTATAGTAGATATATCACAGAGCTGGCACAGGACACTTATATGATCTTTCTGTAGGAACAAACCCTTGACAGATCACATTTTCACAGTTATGATGTTTCTGACTACTTATCCCTACATAAATAATCAAATCTATGCATATATCATTAGCATGAAATATATTCTTGCTTTCTATGATCAGGATCAGCACAAAATAGGCTGGAATGTTGAGATAGTGTATATACTTGGTAGTTCTACTGATTAGAGGCCTATACCTTGAAACTATCAAACTTTAATAATCAGACACCTGAAGCACATTTTAAATATATTTAGTATCATATATCTGAACTTATAGAAAGATTCACCCAGAATTGAGTGTTGTGGAGGTGCAATAGATAAGAAATTGAGTGTGGGAAGCCTCCAACACTCAAAACATCGAAAATGGCCAGTTGAGTAGTAGTCAGACTTGAATGCTACATTCACTTACTTCACCACCACATCCCCTCCACATGTCTTTTACCTTAGGCAAAGTGTAGTATAGGTTCCTTGTATTGTCTAACATATGTCATGTTAAAGTTAAATGAAATATGGTGTGGGAATTACCCCAGAACACCCAAAACATCACCCATTTTGGGACTCTCCACAATATCAATTATTCCCACACCCTTCCCACCTCACTGCAGCTTCACCACTACACCACAATAGGTCCTCCTTCATATATAAGTAGTAGTTTAGTATATATATGTATAACATAATATAATAGACTGCTTTTTTGCTCATTTATATGCCTGCTCCTCCTCCAGGGGCCATTTAACATATGGTAGGATATAGAACATTGAGGAGACGTGATTTGCTACTGAGTGCTACAGACCACTCAAACCACTCTGTAGCACTCTGTAGCACAATCCAACCTACTGATGAACACTTTCGCACTTTTGCCTCTTTGGCATTGAAGTGTTCTAGACATGTTTATGATCATATATGAATAGATTCTCATCTTTATTTGACCCATTGAAGCGCCCTACATCAATAGTTACAGTGTATGTATGGAAAAACACAAAATAGGTTCGCATTTTTTTTGTTTCTAGCTATATGAACTTAGAAAAATTGTCCCCAACATCTATTCAATAGTAAGAAGAATATATCAAGAGCTCAGGATCATAGGGAAAGATCTTGTTGTGTAGTGCATTCCTCCTCTCCTGGTGGTTTACCCCCTGTGAAACATTTTCCTGTAGAACTGGACCTTAATTGAGGCAGGGAGTCTATTTCTATGTATATTTGGAGTAGATATATCATATAGCTAGCCCAGGACATATATAGGATCTACAGTGTCATATTGAGGTGTCTGATGTATGATTTATGTCAGTTTAAATTTCAAATATTGATAACCCTGATGTGTTACCAACCTATAGCTAACATTATGCTTCTACTGAATGCTGAGCTTCCTCATGACGCCTGTCTTTTCTGACAAATGACTAGCAGTACCCTCCATTACCATGTAGATCTGTCCAGACAAATCTCTTTGTCCATCAACACTTTAGCGCTCAGTAGGTATACTCTTTGGACATGTATTCCTGACAGCTACCATTATGGATGCCCCAAAACAGTTCTCTGAGACAGTTTACCACTGAATTTGGATAATGCAGATTCAATCACCCAGAATGGCCCTCACAAGCCTTCACACAATGCAATGTCATATCATGGTAATGAATAGCCTTCAGTTTCTTGGACCTTCGAGAAACTTAGTGCCCTCCAGTTTCTGGTTTGATCAATAACACACATACATATATATATATATACAGTGGCTCAAAAAAGTGTCTCAATGTTTGTGACTTTTCATGTAATTGCTGTATTATGAGCCAGGGTGTGAGAATATGACTGAGCCATAGGGAGGTGTGGGAAAGCTCTGCTTCTAAGCTTCATGTTTGATTCATAAAAAGTGGGAAGATTATGTCATCAAGTGAAGATATGGTTAATGTAATGTGGTGACTCATTGAGACACTTTTTTGACCTATGAAGATGCTAAACACAGTGATGCTTGTATGAACCCTATTGAGTGATAACCACTGAAGCTCACATACTTCAGTCATGTTTCCACATAGAATCCAGGCCAGCTAGTCACCAGCTGGTAGACATGGGATCAGTGCTGGCTAGTCTCTCTAGGCATAGTATTAGCTAGCATCTGATAGTCAGTGTGCAATACACAGAATCTGTGCTGGCCAGATTTTTATAGTATACTACAGTACTACAGTAAGCTTACTGAAAGACTAACATCCTACAATGTTCAGATGAATCCTTCAGCATGGTTCACTCAATTTGAGTTATCTCTCTCCATCAGCTGGACAAACTCACAACAGATCCAATGATTGGGTATGCAGTTGACACTGGGAGAAGCAGCAGAAGAATAGTACCAGAACTTGATGTCCATGCAGTGCAACTCCTTTGCAGACCTCAAAGCAGTGTTCTTTAACTACTGGCCCCATCCCAAGTGCTCTAAACTAACCAGAGTGCAACAGAAGGAGTGCATCATGTCATAGGTCTTGAAAGAGGAAGAAGTGGGAGAATGGGTACAAGTAGAATGGACAAGTAACTATGTGCATGTGATCTGGGCAATTAATGTCTCAAAGTTAGCATTAGGGATGGGGAATGTGGATGGCACCATGATTAAATATGCCCTAGAAGGTATCCTGAATGTACTAAAAGACCACTTAGAGTACAGTCATTAGCTACTCAATATTGTCAATGTTTATTTGTAATGGGCACCAGTAAGCTACCAACTGTTACAAACCTGATTGACAACTGCTGTGTTTACATGACAAGTTAGGGTGCCTGTTGGATATACTAACATACTTGCATGGTACAGCAAGGATAGATATTTCATATCTTTCAGTGCTTGTTCTTATGTGAGGGTAGAAGTCAGTAATGGGAGAAGTTGTCATATCCTGTGTGCCAGACCTACATCCCATAATATTCCCATGCTGTCTGGGCATATTTCCTGGACCCCACCTCTGACTCATTCCCAGATCTCCTTCTGCTGTGTGCTCCATATCTAAGCAGGATTAGCTCTGCTACAGAATTACCCCTGAGCTCTGGACCTCCAGATCTTCACTACTACCCTGATCCATACACCCCTATCCTGTCTACCATATGCACATTCTATCCAGCAAGACATCCAGACTTTACCTCCTCTCAGATTCCAGACTACATCCACTACCTCACATATCTCAGTCCTGTTTCCACCTTGCCTTCCAGATCCCAGATCTCCAGACCTCTGGATATTAGCTGTTACTATCTCTGGACCTATTCCCACCCTCCATCTGAGATCCTGCACCTATCCCCATTTAGGCATCTCCGCCTTTCCAGTTCTCAGTTATCTCTGTTTCTGTCTTGCTTATTGATCCTTATATGAGTTTCCATCTCTGAGTTCATTTACTTATGTTCCATCTTACTTACTAATGTGCTTCCACATGCTCGTACATAGCCTTGCTCCTTTGCTTACTGATCCCCTCAGATATTCTCCAGTATATGACCCCTGTACATACTCCTGTAGTTTCCTCAGTTTGAATATCAACTTAGACTTGCCCAATCCTCTCTTGGACTTTGATCCTCCTAAGTTCTATCCTATTCATCAGGCCTAGGGATTGATTCCCTAGGCTGGAGCTTCACCTTTCTGGCACTTATCCTCTTTCTGGACTTAGGTCCAATCCCTGTCTCTCCAACTCTACCTTAGGGTAGTCAACCTCTGTTTGTTTCTACATTGGACAAAGTCCAATGTAGCTCCTATTCCTTCTAGACCTCTGGATATCCTGTCCTCCTGACCATTGGACATCCTATCCTCCTGTCCTTCAGACCTCCTATCCTCCTGGCCCCTGGACATCCTGCCCTCCATACCTTTGGACATCCTATCCTCCTGTCCTTTGAACATCCTGTCCTCCTGTCCTCCAGACCTCTATACCTCCAGACATCCTGTTTCCTGTAGAAGTATTACTTTGCAGTGGGAACTCTCCTGAGCACTTCCTGGATTCCTCCAGAACTCTCCTGTGCTCCTCTGGACATTTCCCACACTCCTCCAGACTTCATTAGACCATCATTAGACCTTATCTGACATGAAGGGCACATACTTGGGTAAGGGGCACAGCATATGAGCTGAGGCCAAGCCCCTCTGAGTCAGTCTCTTTCTCTGCTTTAAGCAAACCGGTTCTTAATACTAATGTGGGTTTGAAGAACTCATTCATCTTGGAGCATGTTATCATCTGTGTGTCCACTTACACTGATGAGGACTTCAGAGACCCTTTTACTGGGTATGGAAATGATTCAAAGGGCTATGTGAGCACTCCAGTCAATGATGTAAGTTTTTCTTTCTTTGAAACTGGCCAATAGTGACTATTGTTACAGTTCTTGGATATAATCCTCTAACCCTGGCAAAGTATCATTGACCATGCCCAAGAATCATATCTCTGGATGCTATGCTGTGGCTCCCTTGTCAATAACCCAGACTCATTTCATGGCTTGCAAGAGGCTGTTGTCCAGTAAGTTTTTTTGACATGGTTTATCTAATGTTTCCACAGACACAAATTAACCAGTACCATTGCCTTCAACGCTCCTCATTTTCAACCTTCTTTCACCTCACACTTCTGTAGTACCTGGTTGGATATTTGTTAAGGTTGTACTCAAAGGGTAACTGGATCTGAAGGGCTTCAGCCTCAGCTTGTGCACTGTGCCCCTTACCTGAGTATTGCCCCTTATTTCAGGAAGGCAAGACTAGCGCATCCAGAAGGTCGGACAAGTAGTGTAACAGATCTGGATGACTTCCAGATGAGGGATAAGTATCATAAGGCTAATCCAGACAAGTCCAGACTAGAAACTAACGGTAATGGACTGTTGAGGACAGAGGCAGATATGGATAGACTATAGGAATCAATCCTAAGTCTCGGAGGGTGACGAGAGTAGAGGTACTCAAGTCCAGAGGAAAGGAATGAGTAGAACTAAGATGATATTTGAACTGAGGTACTACAGAAAGTTACAGGAGGTTATATACTATAGGTATCTAATGAATGATCAATCAGCAGAGTCCGAGGCTATGTACAAAGCATGTGGATAGTCTATTGGTAAGTAGAAACAGATCACAAATCATGAAACAGAAATGAAACATAGGTAGTAGATAAGGGAGCAGGACAGATATACAGATAACTGAAATACTGGAGTTAGGGGGTTACCGAAAGGGGATGATCGCTGGTTGTGGATTCGGATGAGTTGTGGACTGGACCGGACGAGTGGACAGGTTGAATGATGAGATGTTGGAGGGAGATAAGATGTGGATCTGAGAAGAGATAAGGGTCAGATCTGAGATCTGGATATGTGGATATGACAATATTCCATTGAAGGCACACTTAGCTTGATTTACATATTTTTCTGCAGTATTTGTCTTACACTGTTCTTTGCTCATGTTATCACTGTTCTGAGTTTGAGTAATCTTTTGTTTTTCATGTCTGAATTTTGAGATTTGGTGTATAAACTAATGTCATTAAGTCTGAATTGGTCAGATGTACTCATGTAATTTGAATCATGTGACCCCAACATTGTCATCTGATGAACACATGACCATGTTTTGATCATGTGACATGGTTTGTTGATCTGTTGTCAAGGGAGTTGTGGACTGGTTGCACTTTCTGCAAACTTATACCGGCCTATGTTCTTGAGATTTTTGCATATAATAGCTGACTGGACACATGTATTCAAGAGTGTTTTGGATAAGCACAAGGTTGCCTATGTTTCTGCCAAAGGAAACACAGTCAAGAGGGCTACAATTCTCAAAGCCATCAAGGATACTATAGTTGAAACTGATCAGGCCAAGGATCCTTCTATCATGCTTCCAGCCAAAACTCTCGGAAGGTAGGTTTCCAGTGTCTTTATATCTACAGTAATCTAATTTTATAGGCTATTCATACATATTACTTGCAGTTCCTGGAGGATGATGAAGATTGGGACCTCAAGGAAAAAATCATACAGGAAGGTCATAAACTCCCATCTGGTCCAGGGATTGTCACTGTAGACATGGTCAGAGACCAAGAGGATGACAAGCCTATGGATGCTGCAGCAGTCAAGACTCAATTCTCACCTTTTGATGTCACTCAGAAGTTGTTTAAAGAAGGAATTGGGAAGTATGATAAGAAGCACCATGACATCTCTGACCTGAGGTCCATGGGGACAAGGACAAAGCTTATCCAGTCCTGGTACAATGCCCTCTCACCAGATGTGCTTGAGGAGCTCAGACTTGTGGCTGAAAAGTGGAATGAGGAAGGTGCTCATTCTGATGTCAAAGACAGGTATTTTTTCAATACTACATTGATATATTTAAGATAATCTCATGTGTATCTACAGATACTGTAGCCAACACCAGAAGAAACTTATGGAGGATTTCATAAAGATGGCAGGAAGAACTATGGGTTTACATCTTGTGATTCTTGCAGCTCATGATCAAGGGGAGGGAAAAATGCCTGGAACAACCATGTCAGTGTTATGTTGTCTTTTCTCATCAACATTTATATTAATGAATTACTGGCTTAGCTGGGAATCCTGTCCCAGGAAGTTGAATAAAACTTTCACCCTCACATCCAAAGAAAATAAAAAATGGGCAGGAGAGTCTCAAGACTGCCTTGCTGACTGGCTGACTGAAGCAGAGTACAACATCTGCCTGGTTGGTCATCTTGGACATGGTCTGAGGAATGTCTACTGTTAAGGTTGTACTCAAGGCTAAATGGATCTGAAGGGCTTTGGCCTCAGCTCATGCGCTGTGCCCCTTACTCAAGTATTGCCCCTTATTTCAGGAAGGCAAGACTAATATGTCTGGAGGGTTGGACAAGTAGCATAGCAGATCTAGATGACTTCCGGATGTGGGATAAGTATCATAAGGCTAATCTGGATGAGTCCAGACTAGAAACTAGTGGTAGTGGGCTGCCATAGACAGAGGCAGATGCAGATAGACTATGGGAATCAATCCTAAGTCTCAGAGGGTGACAAGAGTAGCAGTACTCAGGTCCAGAGGACAGGAATGAGCAGAACTAAGTTGATATTCAAACTGAGGTGCTACAGAGAGTTACAGGAGGTTATATACTATAGGTATCTAAAGGAATGATCAATCAGCAGGGTCTGAGGCTATGTACGAAGCATATGGATAGTCTATTGGTAAGTAGAAATGGATCACAAATCATGAAATGGAAATGAAACATAGGTAATGGATCAGTGAGTAGGACATATATATAGATAACCAAAATATTGGAGTTAGGGGATTACCAAAAGGAGACGAGTGCTCATTGTGGATTCAGATGAGTTGTGGACTGGACCAGATGAGTGGCAGATTGGATGATAAGATGTTGGAGGGAGATAAGATGTGGAAAGGATCAGAGATAAGATGTGGATTGGATCTGAGATGAGATATGGATCAGATCTGACATCCAGATATGTGAATATGACATCTACCTTGAAATATGCACTATGATATTCAGGTGTCCTTCACTGCTTTGAAGGAACTAGAGAACTATATCATCAGATCTTGTGGTTTGGGTATGATTGTTGTCCTTGTCCTTGGACTCCTCCTTCATGAGTGTCACTGTGCTCAGGAGTATGAAGCAGATAAGGCCAGAGATGATGTACCTGACTATTTGGGCACCTCCATCCTTGGCATTCAGGTAGGGGAGAAGATTGAGGAGGCAATTACTAGAATTCAGGTGAAGGTGAAGGCAATGCTGCCAGATGATCATGAGAGGCAGATGTCAGTGAGTGAAGAAGTTCATATGAGGCGTCTGGAGAACAAAAGGCAGGTGAAAGAGAGGAGGCAGGCAGAGCAGGCAAGGGTTGCTGCAGAGAAGAAGCTGCTGAGGAGAAGAGGGCTGCTGAGGAGGCTTGCATGGCTAAGGAGAGGGCTGCCACATTAAAGAAGGCAAGTGGTACTAAAGCTGGGGGAAAAAGAAAGGGTAAGCAGCCAGCAACAGATGTGAATGATTCACCCATGAAAAAGATGAAGACAGGTCCTTCAACAGCACATGAAGGGACAGTAGTCCCACATGCAATTCCAAAGCCTCACTCAGTCAAGCTGGCGAAAATTGGTACACTGCTGACATCATGAATGGGTGACCTCCTGGCTGGGTTGACTGACAGAGTCACTGGCAATGTTGAGGAGGATGTTGCAACGGAAGGAGGGCACACATCTCCAGCACTGAAGAACATGCAGGGAAAAAAAAATGGTGATTGAGCCATCGGTGAGGACAACCCAGAGTAAGTCAATGCAACAGCCATTAGACAGTACCCCTCAAGTGATTAGAGCAAGGGGAAAGAAGTAATGGACTTATACTACACTGCCTGCCTTTATGTACATGTCAATGTTATTCAATCTCTATTCAATGATCAATACTCAGGACTTGGTGAGCCAAAGCAAGAATTAAACTTTGGTGTTCGACACTCAGGAATTCCTGAGCCTCGATAACTCAATTGGAAATGGAAGAGGAATGCATCACAAATACATGATGTGGGTATGTTAATGAAAATCCAGAAGTTTACATGTGATTTGACTACTATCAGAAATTCAGTAATTTACATTTGAATTTGATCTTCAAACCAATTGATCAGGGAATCTACTACCTTGAGCATTTCGACACTCATCCATTGAGCTCTTTGTAACCTCTGGAGGTCTACATCAGCTCTTCTGAGTTTGTTGGAAGTTTCTGCCCACGCCATCTGGAAGGGTTGCTCACCCTTGAGTAGTAGTGGAATGGAAGGATCAGGAAGATCCTCAGTATGGTGTTTGTAATCACCAAGTCGATCTTGAATGAATTGCACTTGCAGAAAAATTAGTGCAAAGATAAATGATCTACTATGTCAGATACTCACACCTGGTGTGTTCATATGACATGAATGGTCAGAACTCCTGGACCATCAAACATAAATCTTTGTTAGTGAGCTCTGGCTGTTCTGAATAAAGTTTGGTAGAGGTTTTGTCTGCTTGGGAGATACATTAAGTATCTATAATCCTCTGGAATGAATGAACTCACATGATATAGACACTTCTGATGCAGCCAGAGCATCAATCTCAGGATCAGCAGGATCCAGCAACTCATCAACATCAATAATATCATCCTCAGGCCTGAGGTACAAGTCTGGATCGATGGGAAAACCTGGATGATCAGCTTGAGCCGGAGGTGATTGATCTGCAAGGGTTTAGTGTGCATGCATGGTGATCCTCAATCCTAATGAATGTATAAACTTACTGGGTATTGCAGCCAAGACATCTGGTGATCCAGATGACACAGAATCATATTCTATGTCATCATTTGGCCCAAGGTATAGATCATCTAAGGGATATCCAGTAAATAGATAAGGCATGATAAAAATACAACACACCTAGTGATATCTGGGACAGAGGACTCATCCACATCTATTGAATTGTAGTCAGTCATGTGGGCTCATGTTGTGTGAGGAACTGATTGACTTGTTGACTGATAATTGAAAAAACTTCGAAGTTCAACACAAAACCAGCAATTGCCAAAAGTTGGACCATGACCAAACAAAGACAAACAATCAATGATTTTATAGATCATCCATCAAATGTCTTGTTTCTTTTGAAACTTCATCCTTGTGATAATGGATTTCAACCTGATTTCAAGATCTTTAAATCTCTCAACTCAATCATCATGTCCACTCCAGTTGACACCTCTTTGACCAGTCTCAAGGCATCTACTGCCCAGATCATGGCCATCATCAGTGGCACCCAGCAAATTCCCCAGGGATCCAGCCACTTTGCTCTGATAACACAGGTCAGTTCACTTGTGGTATATAGCATTCTTTTTTTTTCTTTTTTTCTCTCCAACATCCAGGCAGGCTCATGTAGTCAAGGAGTATGGGGCTGGACCCCTGCCTTGCATCATGCTTTTATGCTCAAGGAGCTAATGTGTGTCTGGAGTATGACTCCCCAGGCCTGGCCCAACTGGCACAGCATTGGGTATGACAATCCCTGTCTCTTGAAGCACATCTGGCATGCCAAGCTCCTCACCTGGGAGGTCTTAGGTGACCATACCTTTGATCTCCCAGTTGCTGCTGCTCCTTCCACAGGGTCGACCAAGGATAGAACCTTGTCAAGTCAATGCCTCCCTCAGGAGCAATCATCTAGACTCTCACAGGATCTAGGGTTCAAATGGGACACAGACTAGCCTCCTTCCCAAGGAGCTAGAGTTCAGATATCAAAGAGAACTGAGTAGATTCAAGTTAGAGAAGAGTACAAGTGGTAACTAGGGTTTATATATGTAAAGGAACTGTGCACAGACCAAGCTGGGTGAAGGGTAATAAGTGCTAAGAAAGGAAGGTTCATGGGAAAACATATTATGAGCACATAATGCAGTGACTTATCTCCTTACTTACTGGACAACCCAAGTTGACATTTCTCCTTGATAGTTGGGCCAACCCACCATGGGCCCACATTATTATGTACCTCATAGCTGTGGGATGGGCCCAGGTATGAAACCGTTCCCCTAATATACTGGGTGGGCCTGAGGTGGATAGCCTCCAAGGCTAATGGATGGGCCCACAGTCTAGATATTTCAGATGTATCATAATGCATAACTTAGTAGTCTTATGATGTATAGCCTATTACTGTTAAATCAGTACCACAGTAAGGGGTGGGCCCATACATTGGTTGGCAAGATTGCCAATATGGATAATGTCTGGTGTCCAGTGGCACCAATGAAGACAGTGATAAAGGTTATGTAGCCTGTCACTGTCAGATTCAAAGGGTGGGCTGACAATGTAAGATCACCAATATATATGTGGCCATCCATGTCTAGCATGCAGCATCGATGACACGGCATACCAATACTGAAAGTTGTGATAATGGCCAGAAAGGGTGGGTTGACAATGTAAGTTCACCAATACATATCATCATGCATGTCTGGTGTGTGTCATATCCTGTATGCCAGACATAGATCCCATCATATTCCCACGCTTTCTGGACCTATTTCTGGATCCCATATCTGACTCATTCCCAGATCCCCTTCCACTGTGTACTCCACACCTCAGCAGGATCAACTCCACTCTGGATTTACCCCTGAGCTCTGGGCCTCTGGATCTTTACTACTAGCCTGATCTGTATGCCCCTATCCTGTTCACCATATACACATTCTGTCCAGCAAGACATCTGGACTTTACCTCCTCTTAGATTCTGGACTACATCCACCACCTCAGATATCTTAGTCCTGTTTCTGCCCTGCCTTCTAGATCCCCAGATCTCCGACCTCTGGATATTAACTGTACTATCTCCAGACCATTCCCACCCTCTGTCCAAGATCCTGTGCCTATCCCCATTTAAGCATCTCCGCCTTTCTGGTTCTCAGTTATCTCTGTTTCCATCTTGCTGATTGATCCTTGTACTAGTTTCATCTCTGAGTTCATTTACTTATGTTCCGTCTTACTTACCAATGTGTTTCCACATGCTTGTACATAGCCTTACTCTGTTGCTTACTGATCCTCTCGTATATCCTCTAGTATATAACCCCTGTACAACTCCAGTAGAGTCCTCAGTCTGAATATCATCTTAGATCTGTCCTCATTACCTTAGATCTGCCCAACCATCTTCCAGACTTCAGTCCATCTGAGTCTCGTCCTTTTCCATAAGGCCTAGGGAAGGATTCCCTAGGCCGGAATTCTGGACCTTCAGATTTGTCCCCTATGTCTCTGTCCCAAGTCTAGGGATTGCTTCCCTATGCTGGAGTCTTGCCTTTCCTAGCACTTACCCTCTCTCTGGACTTTGGTCCACTTCCTGTCTCTCCAACTCTACCTAAGGGTAGTCTACCTCTGTTTGCTTCTACATCGGATGAAGTCCGATGTAGCCCCTATTTCTTCTGGACCTCTGGACGTTCCACCCTCTGTACCTTTGGACATCTACCTATGTCCTCCACACCTTCATGTCCTGTCCTGTGTACCTCTGGACCTTTAGTTCTCCTGTCCTCCATACTCCAGACCTCTGGACATCCTGTCCTCCAGACCTCCTATCCTTCCATCCTGTTTCCTGTAGAAGTATTACCTTGCAGTGGGAACTCTCCTGAGCACTTCCTGCATTCCTCTGGAACTCTCCTGTGCTCCTCTGGATATTTCCCACGCTCCTCTGGAAGTCCTTTGGACTTTGTTGGACCATCATCGGACTTCCTCTGAAATGAAGGGCACATACTTGGGTAAGGGGCACAGCATACGAGCTGAGGCCAAGCCCCTCTGAGTCAGTCTCTCTCCCCCTTGAGCGTGGTTCTTAACAGGTACAGACATTGTCAGTGGTGGGTCAGTTGGAGTGGTGGCTGAGTTGTCTGATATGAGCATGTCTAGAATACTTAGAATATGAAAAATGTACCTTCATCATCATCTGGTGCATGGTTTGCAGGGCAGAATAGGACCAAACCTACTTTGATCATTGCTGATTGCTCTAAGTGTGAACACTTCAATTTCTTCCTGGAGCACCTGGAGCAAGCTCTAAGCACAGTGCCAACTCCAAATCCTTGGTGACAGATAACCGACCTGAATTAATGCTGATCAGTGTACATTAGCACTCAATATCAGTCACGCACTTAATTAGACACATAGTACAAGGTAGCTCCAACTCCTGCCCAGCTATGGTCTATACTGACTCAGCATTATACATTACAAAGGATGAAATCTTATGGTGCCAATGTCCTCTGTGAGTACCTTGGTCTTAGCTTGGACATGCTCTGTTGGCCTTACTTCCAGTTCCTCCATTGGCATGCTTGAATGATTGTCACTTTTGTGCTGCTTCCCAGTGTGGGTCCTAATGGTATTTGGCTACTAGACCCCATAACAATTGAACAACCTTTGGTGATATCAGAATCACTTACTGTAGGGGGCCCAGACTCATCAAACTTAGGCATACATGTTGGGCCAGCTTCATCTGTTGCCAGCAGGCGACTCAAAGCAATGTTTCACTTGGTTGGTGGCTTACTAGGACTAGCATCCCTGTGTCTCTTCTGAGGCCTTCCACACCCAAGGCCTTCTGCAACATGCTCTGGCAGTGTCTTAATAACCAAGGGTCTTATATAAATGCATGTAAAATGTAATGACACCACAATTACACTGGGATAAGACTTCTTGCCAGTCCTTGATTAACATGGTCTGTGACTTTTCTTCTTTCATGGTAGATAACGTGTGAGTTCTTGGGAGGCTTGCTAAACCAATCTGTGATTAACTTAGCTGGAGCTTTTGTGTTATATCCCAACTTATAAACTTGTCTAGGATAAACCATCTAGACACTGGAATGTGGTTCCTTGTTAAGATAATTCTCTGTAGAGACTATGGTCTCAAATACGAATATGTTGACCAAAGACTGGTTGGTCAAATAGGCACAAAGTGGTGAGAAACTGGTCTCACAAATGAACAGATTGACCAAAGCTCATGTTGGTCAATATCTGAAACTAGGTGAGAAGCTGGTCTCAAATAAACTAAGTTTCTATCATAAGAAACTTATGTAATCTCAAGGGAATGTCTTTTCCCTGCACTTGGTACTTCAAAGGGGCTTTCTTTGTAAGCAACAATCTTCACAGTAAGTAGCTCAAACTGAGATTCAAATGATTGCAAGTGGGAGATCCTATTTTTTGGGAGAGAATGGGCCCTCCTTATATACATTTTGTGTGGGAATATTATGTAAGTAAAAAAGCGGAGTAATGACATCAGAGGTGAGTCATTGTGGAGCAGAACATTCCAGAACAAATGACATCATCATGACATCATCATGACATCATAACTTTCAACAGAATACTTGCAGGAGTATCTGTGGAGCCATATGACATCATTATGACATCATACCCTGTAGGTACAATTTTGTGAAGTATCTGATGGGTCAGAGCATCCCAATAGAAAAATGAATCAAGGAAATACTAGAGAAAACAACTCAGAAATAATAATACAATAACAAGACACAAAACACAGGCTTTTTAGATAGGTTTTTGTTAGGCTTTGAACTTTTCTCTATGGTTTTCTCTAGCCAAAGTGAATAAGCCAAAGGCAAGGCAATACCTTAACCTTCTTGCTTCACAATATCAACTAGGTCATTATGTGATTCCCATCTCACAAATGACTTTTCTTCAAGATATAATAAATTCATGAATCACAGAGGGAAAACTGAACTATTTGACCAAGGTTTGAAACCAAGGTATGGGTTGACTAGCCTGATGCCTAAGCTAACAGACTTTGTCTTTTAGGGGGCTACCTAGTAGTCATGTCCATGCATGATTCCCAAATCATGCAGGACACCGGCCCATCTGTCACAGATTAGAAGAGCTGAGGATAATAATAGGGGCTATTTCAGCTGTGGGAGAGAGTTGCAGCAGAGTGGGGCAAGATTGTTGATGAGGAATGCCTCAAATTGATAGATAGTATGCATAGAAGAGTGGTGGAAGTAATTAAAGCAACAGGAGGAAGCACCAAATACTAGAATTATAGAGATTGTGTTGGCCAAACTGAAAGTCAAAAAGTGTCTTAATGAGTCACCAAATTAAATTAACCATATCTTCACTTGATGAAATAATCTTCCCACGCTATAGGAATTAAACATGAAGCTTAGAAGCAGAGCTTTCCTACACCTCCCTATGGCTTAGTCATATTCTCACGCCCTGGCTCATAATATAGCAATTATATGAAAAGTCACAAACATTGAGACACTTTTTGAGCCACTGTATATGTGAGTGTGGTGGATGCCAGATGCTGGTGCAGTAGATGTAATGCGCACGAAATCAAATGCACTCAATAGAGTGGCTGGATGCAAAAGAAATAGGGCAAGAGAAGGACCACACCAAGTTACTGGTCATGGGTCAGGTGTTCCTGCAAGATCTTAAGTGTAAGATCCTAGCGGTACGGAACTTCAGAGTGGTGAAGGAATCAACTACTAAGCTATGGCACTAACAGGAATACCAAGTCAGAGTATATGTGTGGTTGTCTCAGCTCTGCCTAGGCTGCTATACTTCACAAAGGCAAGTGCATTCAACCCAAGGGGAAGCAAGTACAACACATCTGCAGGTCACACGAAGCACAGGAAAATCATGTGCTAACAGGCGAAAGTGTGCAAAGGGCTAGGAATGCAATAGGGACTAAGGGAGGATGATGACTGATAGTGATGGGCGCGAGAATGACAAATGTGATGATGATAGAGTGTGATTGCCAAAAGCTACTGACTACAGTAATCCACTGTCACTTGTGTCAGTAAGACTTTGAGTGTGTCTCACAACACAACAGCACATTTAAAAAACAATCATGATTGGCCATTACTTTCTAATACATGTACTATTGTGTATCATAAAATATTGAGAGCATCAGAACATGTGTTGTAGAGTGGTGAATGGATTAAGAATAAGGCCTTTATCAATACTCCACTGTCACTTGTGTCAGTCCCAAAAATGGTATTACTCAATGATAAGAACTAATTGTATGTGATTAATTGTTGCTGATAAGCAATCAGCCAATCAAACCTCCAAGCTCCCACCATCAGAATCATTGCTGTCAATGTCATTAACAGCTCATCCACAAGCAGTATCCAAAGGTTTGCTCCAGTACTGACTGAGATGTGCAGAATGGTGCAGAATGAATCGCTCAGTCCAGTTCTTTCTCACCCTACCTTCTGGGAAGTTGGACTAAAGGCAAGCTTGTAGGAGCATGTCAATGTGAAACTTGAGTCAAGAGTGATTAAGAGGGAATCCTCAGTTTCCAAGCTCAATACAGTATGCAACAATGCTCTCTTCCTCCTCAGGTGAAAGCCATGCATTTTGTTCTGTGTTGAACTGACCACAGGTCCATCCTCCCTCAAGCCTTTGTCAAAGTGTATCAGCACTGACAGTAACAGGTTTTCTTATTGCTTTCCACTTCTCTGCAACATCTCTGCAAATGGCCTTTCTGCTCTTCCTCTTGCTTTCAGGCTTCTTCTGCTCATCATGGTATTCCTTCATTGCCTCTGCATAAGCTTTTTCTTGCTCAGCACAAGCCATCTGTTTCTTCTTTGCTATGGAGCAGGCAATACCAGACATTTTGTAGGAAAGATTTTTGTTAGTACATGACATGCCAGATTGTAATGTGCCCAGCCTCATTTAGCTAATATTTGTCATCCATAACATACTTAGATCTGATAACTCATTGATTGTGAAGTTTTGTGTAATGCTTCACTGGCATTGAACTGGCACATCAGGAATGCTACAATCCTTACAAACAACACATGTCAGATGTCAGTAAAGGTAATCTTCATTGATATACAACATTTGAGTGCACCACAAAAATCATTCGAAGGTGCTATGTACAGAAAAGTGAAATTTGAGCTACAAATTGCAATATCATGACCTTTCCTCCTAGCATATTTAAGATATTATGCCAGCCATACATAGCTCTATATGCCATGAAAATACATCAGCAAGAATTGTGTCTAAATAATGTGATTTGACAATGTTGTGCATTGATGCAAGTGATGGTGGAAATGCAAGTGGTAGTGGATTACTGTATGGCTCGAAAATGCATGCACTATGCTGAGGGATGCTAAGGGATACTAACTGGCACCTAAGTGGTAGCTAACTAAGTCATAAAAATGCGAATGCTATCATGCAAAAGGCAACTAAGCGCGTTCCCACGATGCAGAGCTGACATGAGTAAGGTGCAGGAACAAAGAAGGTATGTAAGGATATATGTAAGTAAGGGTCTATGATAGGATATGGTGTCATAATGAAGATAAAGTGCGAAAATGTACCAGTAGGACTTGCTGAACAATGGATGGATGCTCCTGAATGATGGGCGATGAAGCGTGGGAAAGCGCATGAGAGTGCATTGTGGGAGAGTAGCATGCGCATCGTGTGATGCACAGGAAGACCACACATGTATAGGCTGAGTGAAGGAATGATATAGGGAATGATGCCGCAAGTTCGTGCTGCAAACTGTATGCAGATACATCACAATATAGGGCTCTATGGGCATACAGAGGTGCAAGTCTCTACAGCAGTTGAATTGTGCATGATCGTCAAGTATGAGCAACAGAATGGATTGCACAAGGTCTGCAAAATAATGCAAGAGCAACTCTCCTAAGAGCTGAGTCCAGGGGAAAGGGAACTACTCATTTGTATGTACTGCAGTTGTTTTATCATAGTGTGTGAATGTTTGGAATGTGTATGCGCAATGAGTCTATAGGTAATAAGACATCATGCACTGTGGAATGTGAGTAATGTGTAATAAGACCTGCAGCTTGTTTCACAATGACATTTGGGGAAAATAACACACCAGCAGAGATAGGTGAACATGGATAGGACATGGGAGGACAGATTCCTAGGGTCAGACCAAAGCTAAATGGGGGCGCAGAAGGAGTGCATGCCAGTAGTTCCATGAAGTACACTAACAGTGGATGAGTCGATATATATGGGTTTAATGATTAACATTCTATCTCCTTTCTTGGTAGTAGGAAGAACAGTGCTGGTGATCATATGCACCTAGCACTGGTATGATTGTTACAATGGGTCAGGACAAGCTGTAGATATGAAGTGATTATGCAGCCTGCCTCCCATGAAACTTGGTGATACTTGAAGCACTGTGTGATGACGAGTCAACTTCAATGCAAACTCCTGGTTCATCAACCAAGGTAATGGGCCTGTAATGAAATAAGCCAAATCTTAATAAGTCTACATTAGAGACTCACTGCTGTTTCAGGATTTCTCCTTTATATCTGCAATGACATCCTCGATGTCCTCTGCATTATTAGCAACCCAGGGGTCATATGTCTTGACACCAGCAGAAAGGCTATCTGTCAAATCATGGTTGTTATGGCTGGACCAGTTGGACCACTTGCTGGAGCTGGGATCCATACTAGAACTGGATGGGACTACAGGATCAGGTGGAGGGTTCTTGCTTTGACATGACGGCATTATATATGATTTCTTCTGCATCTTGCAGAAAGAGATCATGTCCAGACCTTTGAGTATTGCACTGTTTAACCTCATTCTGTATCTTAAATAGTTGTGAATAAAAATTAATATAACAATATACAATATGATCACCTAGTAACAATGTCCTCACATTTAACCATAGTGCATGTTTGCTCATGCACAGAAATGGAGCAGGTATCATGAGCAAGTTGGTATAGTGTGGCTCAGTAGCCCTTCCATGCACCTCCAATAATAAAGACTTCTTTACCAATGATGTCACAAAATGAATCCAGGTTCATGTTGGATATTTTCAGGGCAAATCCAGTAGGAATGTTGACCTGTCATATTTTAGAGACACACAATTTGAGAAGAGAAGTACTTACGAGTGAGTAATCACCCTCAGAAATCAGGGTCAGGCATGCGTTTGAAAAGTCCATGGCTTGCACCACCCCTTTCATCTGGAACTCTGGCCCACAGGCAACAGTCACAATGTCTCCAGGCTTAACATCATAACCCCTTTCATTGGTAAATTGGAGAGTCTTGAAGGGACAAATGTGCTGTACAAATGCTGTGGGGGTGTTGATCAACTCATCCTTGATATTGCCCCCAGCCTGGAACCACAGTGTAGTCCCCCCAATAGGAAACCACACCACAATCCTGCATTTCCCCATGTACTCTCCCACACATACTTCTATCTTGTCCCTGATTTGAAGAGATTTGGGCTCAGGGAGAGGGTCAAAATCTGGCTGCATTGGTGGCCAGGATTGAAGAACATGAGTTAAAGGACAATGATCTAGGTAGTACTTCAATACTTCCACCTATGTAATGTCAGACAGGCTTACAGGATGTTCTATTTAACCATACCTCTTCATTGGTGGCTTCTTGACACACATGAAACAAGTCCTCAGACTTCTTAATGATGTGCCCTTCCAGACCTGTGTAAGCACCCACTACAACTCGAACCATGTCACCAACCCAAAAGACATGCTCAATGTCCTGGAGTCGAAATTCCAGTTCTTGTCCATGTCCATTGATAATGAACTTTAAGCATGCAGAGCCAGATGCATGGTTTGTCAAGATGACCATGCCAATTTCTTGACAGACTTCTCCTGTGATAGGCCTGGCTAAATCACTAACACACAAGAACTGCAGTGAAAAGGTCTTCAGAGTTTTCTTGAAGAAAGGTACATCCCACCTGGACTGGAGATGTAGTTGAATGTCATTAGCATGAGGGGAGGCGACCAGCTCCAGACTGTTGTGGTGAAAGTTCTTCAGCAAAAGTCCCATGTAGTATCATTCTCCTTTGTATGACCATCCCATGATTTTATCATCCTGAAGAATGTCAGACACTGTCTTGTCATTCAGCAGGTGAGCTCAGTCAAGCAGTGCCACAGATCTCTTAGGCATGTCATAGGGGAAGTTGTGTAGGGAAATCAATACTGTAACAAAGTTGTTTGATTGTTTGGAGTTGAAGACATAGCCAATGTCACCCTTATATTTTCCCTGTGTGATCTTCACCCACCTGGGATTGGGAAGTGTAGAGCATGAATGTTTGACCACTGCTCATTCTTCCTCCAAGATGCAAGTATAATCTTTCACAGAGGAAGAGAGTAATTTAAGCAATGTTGCAATCATTCTAGGGCTATCTGAGACAGCATAGAGCTGGCTTGGTATCCAAGTTCATACAGTAACTGCAACTCCATTGCTCCTGAGATGTTCAGCAACATGTTGCATGGCAGATCCTGTGATACATTCAGTGCCATGCTAGGTCATTAAAATATGCACTCACTGTGAACATGGAGAAGGTACATCCTGCTTGGGACTGTGCCAGAGGATAAGACCACTCTATGACAGGTGCTTGGGGCATTCTCATACCTGTCAGAGATGTGATTGATCACTGCAGATAGCCTATCCTTGGCTGATGAAGGTCCTGGCAAGTGTGTAACATTCAATGACTGCACAGAAGGGCCATCATCACCCTCCACCTGTGAGTTTTCCTCCTCTTCCTCCTCCTCCTCCTCCCCATCATCATCATCAGATGCCTCATTGTCGATAAAGGGATTTTTTTGGCTACTGTCATATCCGCATAGCCAGATCTCAGATCTGATCCACATCTTATCCCCCTCCAACATCTCATCATCCAATCTGCCCGCTTGTCCAGTCTGGTCCACAATTCATCCAAATCCACAACCAGCACTCATCTCCTTTCGGTAATCCCCTGACTCCAGTACTTCGGTTATCTGTATATCCGTCCTGCTCATCATTACCTATGCTTCATTTCTGTTTCATTATTTATGATCCATTCTTACTTACCAATAGACTATCCATATGCTTCGTACATAGCCTCAGATCCTGCTGATTGATCATTCTGTTAGATACCTATAGTATATAACCTCCTGTAAATCTCTGTAACACCTCAGTTCAAATATCATCTTAGTTCTGCTTATCCCTGTCCTCCAGACCTGAGTATCTCTACTCTCATCACCCTCTGAGACTTAGGATTGATTCCTATAGTCTATCCATATCCACCTCTGTCTACGACAGTCCATACCATTAGCTTCTAGTCTGGACTCATCCAGATTAGCCTTATGATACTTATTCTACATCCAGAAGTCATCCAGATCCACTACGCTACTTGTCCTACCCTCTGGATGTGCTAGTCTTGTCCTCCTGAAATAAGAGGCAATACTCAGGTAAGGGGCACAGTGCATGAGCTGAGGCCAAAGCCCTTAGGATCTGTTTAGCCTTGAGTATGACCTTAACAGCTACATGTATTATTTAGTATAGAAGTCATAACAAAATGAATATATTTCTTACTCTTTGGATGTGTGCGCTTTCAAGCAAACAGCTGCCTTTGAGGCAGACACAGATATGGCAGAATCTTTCCACAAGGTAATGACTATCAATGTACTGGAGGCACCTTGGGGTACATGCCTGGCCTTCAAGGCAAGAAGATTTGCTAAGGTGAGGGAGTTATCATCATTGCCAGAGAACAATGCATCACAAGCTTCTTTCCAATCATCTGCATTGTATCGATTGCCCAAGTATGAGGCAAAGGCTGCCTCCATCTGAGGGTAGGTCATCTCAGTAGTAAGGTACTGTTCCAGAATGTGCCATGCACCACGATCTGCCAGCAGTGATGGCACTCTTGTCCCTGTTATCCACATAAGAATAAATACAGATGACATGATGCAACAACTTACCTTCAACAAGTATTACCATCATGGGAAAAACTGGGATCTCAACCTGACGCAGTGCTGATAATAAGGTTAGATGATGACTAATACAGTGAAACTCACTCACATATAGCAATCAGATAAGTGAGAATTATGACCCAATTCACTAGTTGGGAAGCACACCCCAAGCTGTGGTTCAGTGCACCCTGTGCAACAGATTTATTGTGAGCACTCATAAGACTTACAAAATACTGTGAGGCCAATGAAGATAGGTAATACAAATTACCTATGAGGATGATGACTGTGAGGGCCACCAAGGTGAATATAAGGTTATAGCTGTAAGTTTGTAATCCAAGGATTGATGGGAGAACAACAATGACATAGGGCAGAATGAAGAAAATTGAAAGGAAGAATAATGCCAAACATTGTTGGATTGCCATTATGAATTATAACAGATAGAGTATGGTTCAGAAGAAAGATAGGAGAACTGTTGCACAGGGTGGAGTGACTTATGTAATCACATACTTGTCAGGGGTTCTCTGTACAGTTATGTAATCTGTACATTGTGAACATGGCCAAAGTCACCTACCACATACCCCAGGCCTGTACTAGTCCTCATTGCACCAAAATTAGATGATCCTTCTCCTCTATCCTGGCTATCATACCCAGGCACAAGTCTGCTCCTCAAGGTACTACCCACCAAGCGCTGTTGGACTCAGAGAGATCCGAGACAAAGAAGACCAAAGGATCTGACCTAGGTACGGAGAGTGAGTAAGTGAGGTACAAGCACAAGCCAAAACAGACCAAGGCCCAGGTGAACAATATATTGATGTCGGCTCATGTCCTCCCTTTATTTTATGTTTCACATTTATATCCTACAGTAGTCAAGCCACCCAGCTTAAAAGGGCCACTAGTAGCACCCAGACATCTTAGTTCTTTTCAAGAGACTGAGATGTAAGTCCAGATTGTCACCTGTATTCACAATGTTCTAATGCCCTACATCAGCAAAAGTGACGCACCCTGGTAAGGCATTCCCAGGCTTGGCAAGACCCCCCCAGCCAGACGTACCTTGCCAAGCCTGAACATACCATATAGAGGACCTCTCCCTGATGCCAGCCAGGTGTAAGGCTATTTGAAGACAGTCAGAATTGGAGCTTTCTGAAGTCTTGAGGTGCCTTGTAATGACTGCCTATCCTTGGTATTCTTATCCAGGCTTGTACCACTATATCAGTCTGGTATCACTGTCATATCCACATATCTGCATATCCGGATCTCAGATCCGATCCACATCTTATCTCTGATCCTATCCACATCTTATCTCCCTCCAACATCTCATCATCCAATCTGTCCACTCGTCCAGGTCTGGTCCACAATTCATCCGAATCCACAACCAGCACTCATCTCCTTTCGGTAATCCCCTAACTCCAGTATTTCGGTTATCTGTATATCCGTCCTGCTCATCATTACCTATGTTTCATTTCTGTTTCATGATTTGTGATCTGTTTCTACTTACCAATAGACTATCCATATGCTTCATACATAGCCTTAGACTCTGCTGATTGATCATTCTGTTAGATACCTATAGTATATAATCTCCTGTAACTCTCTGTAGCACCTCAGTTCGAATATCATCTTAGTTCTACTCATTCCTGTCCTCCGGACTTGAGTATCCCTACTCTCGTCACCCTCCGAGACTTAGGATTGATTCCTATAGTCTATCCGTATCTGCCTCTGTCTCTGACAGTCCATTACCATTAGTTTCTAGTCTGGATTCGTCCAGATTAGCCCTATGATACTTATCCCTCATCCGGAAGTCATCCGGATCTACTACGCTACTTGTCTGACCTTCTGGACGTGTTAGTCTTGCCTTCCTGAAATAAGGGGCAATACTCGGATAAGGGGCACAGCACACAAGCTGAGGCCAAAGCCCTTTGGATCCAGTTATCCCTTGAGTATGACCTTAACAATCACACTGTAAGGCAATAGATGGAATACAGTAGATTTCACATTAATAATACAAAATAAAATACACAGCCGGTGCAAAGTGATATGAGTCTGAGTCCAATTAAAATTATACCCATCTAAGCATGATTGAGAGCATGGCAAGAACACCAAAGAAATGACAGCATGACAGCACAAATGTGAGAAAATTGGGAATGAGCAATGCAAGGAGTCCATGATGTGTAAATCTGAGCATGAAATACTAGCTAGAATCAGACCAGGTGAACGAGTGAGAAACAACCATACCTAATCCGCCTTTCTACCATGGTGAGGTGCAGACTTTTTCTTCTGAGGTACAACAGGAGCTGGTTCTTTGACTTTGGCACAGCTAGCAATGAGACGTGTGGGACGGACACTTGACTTTGGCTTTGTAGGCTTGGGTCTTGGGACTACCTTTGGTCGTGCAGTCAGAGGTGGTTCAAGATTGGTTGGAGCAGCAGGAGAATCATGAGTGGTGACAAGTTCAGAAGGAGCAGCAGCAGGTTCAGAGTTGGCAGGTTTTGCAATGGAAGTGCCTTGCTTCAAGGATGGTGGGAGTGACAATGGCGAAGATGAAGCGAGAGACGATAGTCTACTAGGTGGAGTGATGGGACAGTGACTTGGGGGAGGAATTGCAGTGGGCTTTGGAGGAGGAAGATGAGGCAGAGCACTGGCAACAAAATTGCTAGTTGCTGCAGTCAAGGGGGCCCCTTGTTTGTGGGCAGCGTGTTTCACCCTCATTTTTGCAAGATCAGAGTCAGCATCATTTGAAGTGGCCATCATTGCCTTGGCTGCATGTTGGCCAAATACCTGTCTGTAATACTTGTTAGTAGACACTGACAATGAACTGAATACATACTCGTTGATCCATTTGAGTGTTTCCACTGCCCATGGATCCTTGGTATCATCGAGTGTCTTGACAATGGTGAACTCTTCAAGGTTGAATGAGCCAATGGTAAGCCTGTAGGAGTTGCAGTTGCATAGGGAGAACCATGCCTAGTGTTATAAAATCAGTACACCAGTCAAATAAAACAACGAATACTCACCACACACACAGCCCAGGCCCATGACTGCAGTGTCACTTTTGTTAGCCCGTACATGGTGCACTTTGACTTTCCTCCGCCATGCTTGCTGTCTTCATCATCATTATCTTGTGATCCTGCAGCAGCAGGCCCTAAGTATAGATGCTGAAATGCCTGCAAAAAAATTGGTGAACTTAAGTGACTAAAATCAAAAAAGTATGTACCCTGATACCTGCATGTCCACGGAATAGGCCAGTGATCAGATCTTCTGCGTTGCAAGCAGCATCAGCAGGATACAGAAAGGATGGCCAGTTCATAGCAAGCAGAGGCCATCCTCCATCTTGCAGACGTTGTATCCCTCTATGAATAGAGACTGAATTAGATGACACATTATGAGCTAAGAAATACTCACAGGTTGGTATCTTTGTCAAATTCATCAAGCCATTTCTTGGGGCAAAGTTCCCATGCTAGTCAGGGATGATTGATGCTGCGGTTTGACTTGCAGGAAGACTTTGGGACCGGAGGTTGGAGGGTATCAGTGCTGTGGTTGGCAAGAATGTACTCAAGCATTGAGTACTTCAGGGATGAAAAATTGTCAGAGTGTTGGGAGCTCATTGAACTATTGATCTATATGTTTGTAGTCATCAGTTAGGTGCATATATGCGCATATATCCATCAACTCACCACTGTAATGTAAGGTTTGAGCTCATCATATGACAAGTTGTCAAGATTCGCACAGAAGCCTGGAACAAAATCTAGAATAGTGTTGTAACATGCGAGAAATCGCATCTGCTGCTCCACAGATCTGGCAAACAAATCAGATTAAGTTCCAAAGTGGAAAGTGACTTACATATTTGAACTGGACAAACCACCCTTATCGAGGGTCATCCTGTAATGAAATGCAAGCAACACATTTGTGAATGGATTTAAGGTAGTGACTGCCTTGCGCCCAGCTGTGCAGTATTCTGATAATGCATCACTCAACCTTAAGTCATGTAATAGGGGTGAGCCCGTGATCATTAATGAATATGAAACTTACTTGATCTTCTTCTGTCAGCCAGTAGCAGTCAGATTATCAAGAATCTCATCTGTTGAAGTGCATTTTTTGGAGCTGGAAGTGGACAACAATGCCTTGGAGTCTGAGGAAGACATGGTAGGGTGAGGTAAACAGGGGAAAATATGGGGATTGTTACCACATATGTCAGAATTTAAAAACATTGATGGCTGTGGAGTTTCACAATCATCAGAGGCCAACATTTAATTACCTAGTAGTACATTTTTTTACATCTGAGCAGCCCATGTACCCATCGCTGGCCAACACATCATTTGGTTGCACATGACAGCAATTTGACTACTGCTCCACACAAGGTAATGGCAACTTGCAGGGCGATTATTCCACTCAGCGCAGCTACTTCCCCCAACCTTCTGCTCCTAGTGCCATCGCACCACAGCACTTCCTCCTCAGCAACTCTATGACATGGTTCTCCCTTCTGCTCTGCAAGATGCTGCTACATTGGTGCTTCTGAGCCATCATCTTTAGCCTGTTTCTTCCCAACTCTCCATCTTGCCCGAACACTATGTACAACTGCATGCCTCAGCTCGAGTCAGGGATTGTGTCTGCTTTCAATCCCACCACACCATTCTCAAGCATGGTCACTCCACTCTCGTCTCATGGAGTCTGGTTCAAAGCTCACTTTGTCCAGGAAGGCAAGAATGCCCCCAGTCAAGTCATGAGCATTTTCTGCACATGCCTTATTGCAAATGGCTGTATCCCTTCTCATCACCTTCATGAAGGGCAAAGTCACAGCTGCAGAGGCTCGCTGGCCCAGTAACATTATCTACATAATGTCTGTTTCTTCTTTTTTCTTGGTTCCTTCCCTCCCTTCCCTCCCTATGCAGTTTATGTTCTCCTATTTAGCTTCTGACACATATATCCTTTGCTACTCCAACTTGTCATACTCAATTCTGTGGACACACCATCATGCACTCCCTCTGCACCTACCAGACGTCTTGATAATACATCAACTCCTTACTATGTTGAGGCAGTTTCAGTCTTGAAGAACATCTTCTGGTCATCCTCCTTCAGGCAAAACTAACTCAAAGTGATCAACACCACACTCAATGGCAAGGATGTCTTCATCCTTCACCTTAATGCTCACTGGTGGTGGAAAAAGTCTCTCCACTCATTGTGCTCATTGTGGATCAAGTGGCATCCTTGTGAGAGAAGCATCTGAATGCTTGGATTGTAACCCTATCAGAAATGAAGTCCAGCTCCACAATCTAAGGTTAGATTATCAACTGGGGCCATGGATCTCAACCACCTGCCCTTATGCACAATGACCTGCAGATTTTGATCGGGTGGCAGGTCTGACTTCAGATAAAACAAGTCAGGTCTCTGCTGACTCTCCATCCCAGTGCATGCCTGCAGTGACTTGGGCAGGCACATGCAGGCAATGCTGGCAAAGTACACCATCCTCTCACTCCTCACCATTATTCTTACCATGTCATTTTCATGCCCTGCCTGCACTTATACTGCCACATTGGCATGTGGTCTGTTGATGCACCAGAACCAATGGTGCAAAGGCCTTAGAGACATCTCAAACAAAGTCATGAATGCCCACCATGAGTGCCAACCTCCACAACCTCCTGTACTGCATGCTCAGTCAGAAGTCCCCTTGCATGGCGAGGCAAGCCAGCCAGAGTTTGAGAATCTTGAACCATATGTAAGTAAATATTTCTTTTGTTGGAGCAGTACAGGAGATTAATGCTGCTGTCTAGGAATTGCCGGTGCACCATTCGCCCTCGCCTCCACCACCACAACGAGCATCAGGTCTCCCAAATTGCAGATGGCAGCTACCTGCACACTACTGAGATGAACTTCCTGCCCTTCCCATCCCCATTCCTATTCCACCACCAGCGGATGATGTAGACCATGCTGTTCTGCAATCTCCTGTTCATTCCAACTTGGGTACTGCTGAATCAGAAGGAGATGTGTGGGTACACACCAACCAGGACATGTTTGGCACTTTCCATTCATACCAAGGAACTTTCCCTTCCTATGACCCCAAGAACACCTCATCATTGGATAATGTTTGTGACTCTCACACATTCCAACAGGCTGATGGTTCAAACAAGCATGAGCGGCCCTGGCTTACAGGCTTTGGCACTGCTATTAAAGCAGTCAATTGAACCTTTTTTGCACTGTTTCTCAATGCTACTACATTTCATCTCATGAACTGGTTTTATGAGTCATCCAGTGGTAACTCACTTGCCAACATCGATTACCTTGTACAGGGGGTCATACTTGCAGATGACTTTGAGCACGAAGACCTCAGAGGTTTTTCAGCATTTCAGGAGGCCAAAAGAATGGACCAGGCTGACGAGGACTCAAATTCAAAGCTGTTTATCACCTCGGACAAGTGACATGAGGCACCTGTAAACATTAAGCTACCTGCAGAGAAGCACAAGTATATGTCAGAAGCTGATGCACCTAAATGTGCCATGGATGGACTCTATTATTGGAAGCCTCTGGAGGTTAGCAAGTCAGCCTACGAGGAAGTTGCATTGAAATCATTTCACAATGTCCCATACAAATTTTTCTGGCAGCCTGACAAGGGCGAATTTCCAGAACGTATCATCACAGAGGTTTACACAGCCAATGCCATGCTCAACAAGCACCAGAAAATACAGGCACAGTCCCATGAGCCTGGTTGCCAGCTGGAGACTGTCATTGCTTCCATCATGCTTTGGTCAGATTCAATGCACCTTGCTTCATTTGGTCACACTGCGCTGTGGCCCATCTACATGTTCATTGGAAATCAGTCAAAGTACCTTAGGAATTGTCCCTCTACATTTGCTGCTCATCATCTGGTGTATATCCCAAAGGTTTGCATCTGTTTTGTGATTGACTTTCAGAACAAAGTTTTCTGATTTACCTTTGAGTTACCGGATATCATCCATGAATATTATCACAAATTGTATGGGCAAGCAGTGACAAGTGCAGTGCTCACACATCTCAAGCGAGAGCTTATGCAAGCCATTTAGTTGTTTCTCCTCAATGACAAATTCATGCACACATATAAACATGGTATTGTGGTGTGGTTTGCTGATAATGTGAGCCATAGAGTGTTTCCTCAATTTTTTTACATATGCTGCTGACTATCCTGAAAAGTAAGTACTCTCCTTGCACCAGTATCTGATGAGATTTGATCAAACACCATCAGAATACTTCTTGCATGCATTAAATTTCTGGGAAAATTTCCCTGTCCATGCTGCCTCATTCCTCAAGACAAGATTACTGACCTCAGGATGAAGCTGGATAGGCTGTGGCATAAAAGGGATGTACAATTGGATAATCATGCACGCAGGAGTACCATCAAGAGAGTCCATGATTGGATATTTACCAAAGGACACGCCATTGGAAGCACTGTGATTGATAAGGTGCTAGGGCCAACATCACTGGTACCAACATGTGTAAGTTTCAAACGTTGTCAAGAGAACTTTGGCTGATAGAATCAAAGAATGCATTTTCTGAATGACTATCTCAGTTTGGATTCGACTTCCATTCAATGTTTGTGCCCAACTTCATGCATGAATTCGAACTCAGTGTTTGGAAGGGAACTCTCACCTATCTACTACAGATTCTGCATGCATTTGGTGGAGATACTATGACACAGTTTGATACTAGGTGAGTTCTGTGCTCTCATGCATCCAAAGACTAATACTTAGAAGATTTCACTGCATGCCAACATTTGGGAGGGACACTATTCAAAAGTTCAGTCGGAATGTGTCAAATCTTGCAAAACTTGCTGCAAGAGATTATGAAGACTTGTTGCAGGTCCATCCAGCCTTTAGTACCATGTTAGTTGTCTAATGATTCAACTAGTGTTGTATTCCAGTAATGGAGGGCTTAGTACCTGATCACGACGAAGTCATTCTTGACTTAACTCTTTGAACTTGCGACCTGGCATGCACTTGGAAAGCTTCAAATGCACACCAAAACAATACTTCACTTTCCTCAACAACTCGACTACCAGGCTGGGATGAGCTCTCCACCGCTTCAAGCAGTTTACATGTGATTCATTTGTGGCACAAGAGCTACCCAAAGAGGCCGCTGCTTGGGGGTGCCATAAACCTGCATATTCTGCCAAGGGGAAGTTGAAAGCTGTACTGACAAAGAAGAGGAACACCACCAAGGGAACTCGACAATGAGTTTTCAACATGTCTACCTACAAGTTGCATGTGCTTGGTGACTATGTGAAGTTAATTTGGTTGTTCAGGACAACTGACAATTTTTCAACCCAAGTGGTGTGCTAATGCAATTATCTCCTCTTGACTTAAGATTCTAGCTTTGATTGCAGGGCAAGCTGGAGCATCGCCATGTGAAATGCTTTTATGCCTGCACTCACAAGATCAAAATTGCACAGGGTATCGCAAAACAACAGCACCATGAACGACTCCTTCACAAGCTTCAACAGAAGGCTGCTACACAACAAGCAGAAGATTCTTCTCCGTCAGTTGGTTTTTCTGAAACAGAGCCATTGCTACAGTGTTCTCCTGAGACCCAGTATCAGATTTCCAACTCATGCTGCCAATACTGGGACATCACATCTTAGCTGTACAAGAACTGCAAGGACCTCACAGTGAAGGTATCTATCAGTCTCTAGTATTTGAGTCTATCTAATTTTGGATAGGATTTTTTACCCCAACTCAAGGACCATATTCTTGCTTGATTTTTCAATTACGATGATTCCAAGGAGCACACATTTACTGCTGTACAACGGAACTCCCTCATCATCATCAACAATAAGATCTATAAACACAAAGTGCTTTCCAAAGAATGCTTAGACCCAGCATAAGCAACATTGTGCCAATAACATAAGTGGCCAGCTCCCATAGGAACAAGTCCTGATGGACTGGTCCTGAGGCTGAAAAATCAGTTATGCCCTTTGACAGCCTACAGTATCCTGACTAGGTATGCCAGGAAGAAACACTGGCATCCATGGGTACTGCACAACCAGGATGGATTGTGGTAGTACCAACTCACCCATGGCTACACATTTCTTGATGAAGTCAGAGCCAAACAAGAACTTTCAGGTATGGTCAAAATTCTGGGAGTCATATATAAGCATCTCTGACCCAAGGGCCCAAGACCTGACAATGTGTACCTCATTCATGATCTGAATCTTGGCCTTCCTTGTCATCAAGACCATGTCTTCAGATTCATGCTTTCCAGCAGTGGTCACATCTGGTAGCTGAAAGCTCACTGTCTAGATAATGTGGATAAATACCTGAAGAAACATCTGACATCCCAGGATGCTGAGTACATGTTGGCTTGGGGGCTAGATCAGCTAGGAGGCATGGATGTCATTGTGGACCTGACATGGTGTGACAATCATGTTCAGGCTGGCCTGCTAGGACCACATTCTGCAATCCCCACCCAGTCTGCACATCTCCTACCTATCTCTGACACTTTTCCACCATCTCTGCATCTCTAATGTATCGAACCCACTCAGAGATCCTGCACACTTGTCCTACCATGTCTAGTCCAGTCACACCTATCCCCACTGGTGTGTAGTCAGTTATTTCCCATTACTGATTGAGTAGACATTGTTATTATATAGATTCCCACTGGCTGCAGTACCTCATGGCCTTTTACCTACATATTATTGGACCTGCATTTTTGCTACTGCTTTCACCTATGGACTCTGGATTTTCACATAGTTAGTTATATAGGGTTGGGCGACCAGAATTACAATCACCACTTAGTAAGAGAGAGAAATCCCCAATACTGGTCATCCCATACCTGTCCTTAGAGTTACCCCCTGCAATATACCTGTTGACCTGCTCTTCTTGACCCGAAACTATTATTACTCATTCAACTGACATTCCCTAGCATCTCCAAGCTAGTCCTAACACATTCCCTTCCTTTCCCTCACTCTCCCACCATCTCCACATCTCCACACCTGCAGACCCAATTTCCCACACATTGGACTTTGTCCCATACCTTTGGACTCAATCCCTGACCCTTGGACTTTTGACCCCTTTGTGTAGTACTAATTGTTGAATTTGACTAGATAGCAGATCCCTTGGGTCGAACATTCTTGCTTGCAAGTGTAGCAGCTAGGTATTCTAACAACTATCTAGCCAAGTTGTGTTATCCACAATGGGACCAAAGAGAAATGAACATTGGGCTGTACCTGTAGCATAACATCCTGGTCTATTACCCTTGGACCTTATCTGCTGCTGCTGACAGCACATTCTGCCACCTGTTCCCCTCCCACTTGTTATCACTGGGTGATGACCATGAAACATACTGAAATCCATCTCCAAATGTTGATTTCTTTCTGCAGCTGCTGTTACCCAGTAAGAGAGGCTTGGCTGTGACAGCCCCAAAACCACCTCCCTTGACCCATCATGTTTTGAACTTCCAGGGTTAGATACCCAGATCTATCTCCAGGAAAGCAGGCCAGCACTGCTTCCAGTTATTTTACTTTGAGGAACATCTGATAGATGAGAGTCAGACTCAATCATATCTTCACATCTTTCATAGATTTAGACCCCACATCTCACCAACACCAGAGTATCTAGTCACAGATTTGTGTATCAGAGAGAGATGGAAGTTTGATCATGCCCCCCCTGCCAGTCAATTTATGATATGGCAGCCCAACAGCCAAGGCCCACCAAACCCACCACCTTGGTGCCAGTCCCATCACTGTCAGACTCCTCATGGGGCCTGATGATCCACCTATTACTCCACAAAGACACTGGTGTCCTGCATGATTTGGGAATCATGTAAAACATATATATGACATATCATCTCATGTTTCCATAGTCTGTTAGCTTAGTCCTCAGACTACACAGTGCTTTGAGTATAGAGTCAAGTGCAATATTTCACTTTGCATGCTCCAATTATGCAAAAATATGGTGTGTTGAAGAAAAAGTCAAACATAATGAATAAATCATATATTGACCTAGTCCAAGTTGACGGTCATACAAAAGCTTAGGTTATTGCCTATCTTTTGGCTTATTTACTTTGACTAAAAATAACCAAGGAGAAAAGATAAAAGCCTACCAAAAGCCCTATCTAAAAAACCTATATTTTGATTTGTTCTGTCTTATGATTTATTCTACTTTATTTTCTTCATGTTTTTCTTTCATTTCTTTATCTACTTGATTCTTTGACCTCCCAGAGACTCCACAAGATGTACATGCAGGATATGATGTCATGATAATATTATATAGCTCCACAGGAATTTCTGGAATATTCTGTTGGATACTATGATGTCATCTATGATGTCATAGTGATGTCAGATCCTGGTGTCACTGCAGACTGACAGCCTGGTCTTTTTCCTTTCCTTTGGGTCTGTTGCAGCTGGAAGACTGACCAGAGGGATGGCAAGAGCCAGCATTTTTGGGACCTGACTGCACCCAGCATCAGGATAAGCAAGTGGCAGGACAAAAGTAATGAACACACCTGGGGGATTTTGGGTTGTTCGTGTTTTTGCAATCTAGCAGGCACAGAAGACTGATCACTTGGTTAGTTTACTGCCTGGATACCAGGGTGACAAATCTGCAGCTGGACGCTTGGAAGTTGCAGGAACAGAGGGCTGGGTATCCACATCCATGGGCATCAGTGGATTGGTCTCAGCCACAACTTGTGCACCAGCTTTGGCAGCAGCCTTAGCCTTCTTGATATTGGATTCCAGCAGTTCCAGAACAATCCTCAGGCACTTATGCCAGCTTGTCTCATCTATCTCCACCATTGGACTATGTTACTCTGTTTGGACTTCAGGTCCATCTTTGACCAATTAATATGCTCCCCAGTTTTGTTGGGTGAGGATCCATAAAGTGATCAGATGACAGGATCAGTTTCAGATGATGTCGACCAAGTTACCAAATCTGTGATACCATTCATAACAAAGGGAGATTGAACAAATTGGATGCTCACCAAATATGGTCAAAGCTGGTTGGTCAATTTGAGGCCCTGGTAGCCAACAAGTTGAACCCAGAGGAGATATTCTGTGGGTGTGATACATTGCTTGTGCCCATGAGAATAGGATGCTAGAGAACCATTGGCACATCATTTTGTTGGATGTGGGTATCTGCTGTTCTTGGAGATGATCAGTGGAGGGATAGAATTTTTCCTAGACCTTGTCAACAAAGGCCTCACACAGATAGTACAAATACACAGACCCTTGAAATAAGTTTTATCTGGTCTGTGCATTAAAGTATTTACAGAATGACATGTACCACAGTGCATACATTGTGTTTTATAACAATTGGCAAAGTGGTTTTGAGGAAGTAGGAATGTAGATAATGTGGTGATGTGAGCGTAACACTGGAAAACAGTCCATGGATTTATTACAGGTTCCACAGTGATAGAGCTCTGGGTGCCAATCTTTGTGCATTGTACTTGCCTTATTCCAGTAATGGCTAAGGTCTGTTAGCTTGATGGTGGATCCTTGCATGGTGCTTTGGGGGAAGTTCAGGGTGGCACAACAAAGCCTACAGAAATGCATCTTATCACTCCCTGAATGGTGTGGCTAGGGTTCCCAGATTAGTCAAGTTGCATTTGATAAGTGACAGCAGCATCAGAAGCAGCAACAGAAGTGACAACAGAACACAGTGGCTACAATTGATGCTCACCATCTATTATTCAATAGAATCAGGGTCTACTAATATAAAATGGAGTGTTGGACCTTGTATATATTACATATGTATGTATACATAGGGTGAGGGTGAGCAAACATATCATAGGAACTGTCAACTTTCATCTAACCCACAATAATGAGAGCTGTTGCAAATGGTAGAAGGTTGGACCCTGGACCAAACTGAATTTTTCATACAGCAAATCAGGCTGATGAGTCAATCTGATGTTTGCAAGTGGCAACTCAGTCAGAGTCTATGTATTGTGTCAGACCAAGGTCCACATGTGACAGGTCAGTCCAAGGCCAGTCTCACATTCCACTAGCAGTAAAGTCAGTCTACACAATCTTTGTAAGGCAATATCACATACACATCATTGAAATCACAGGCCCTACCAGTCAAAATTTTGTCCTATGATCAGGCCTGGATCCACAATTGAATCTGATTAAGAGCTGATGGGCCTAACCATCAATTTAGAGGTACCAAGTCTGGACAACTACAACCTGCACCAGGAATGAACCCGACTGCCTCAAACATAATAGGAATATGCCCCACAGATCTCATAATGGTGGCAGCATAAAAGCCTATAGGGAAATTTGTTAAGGACGAAGACATGGTACTTATATTTGCACATTGATGGTGAAAGGCAATGAACCTGCCATGAATAAAACATCATGGGTGTCTCAGATCCATAGCTGGATCATTGTGTCAGTGGAAGGGCCTGATGCCTTCAAAAGAAGCTCAGGAGCCATACTTAGGGGCTCCAAATGCAAGGTACTGTATGCTTCCAACATCACACATGTACAGGGATGGCCCACACTGAAGTCAGTCTGAGGTCCACAGGTGGTGGGTTAGTTTACATGAGGTGCAGGTCTAGGCAGTGCCTGGAATCAGGCTTATTGCATAGGAATGCATTTTGATGAATCACAAAGGCTGCAACTGATGGTTCAAACTCATTAAATTAGCATAAACATATACAGTGGCTCAAAAAAGTGTCTTAATATTTGTGACTGTTCATGTAATTGCTTTATTATGAGCCAGGGTGTGAGAATATAACCAAGCCATAGGAAGGTGTAGGAAATCTCTGCTTCTAAGCTTTATGTTTGATTCCTATAGTGTGGGGAAATTATGTCATCAAATGACAATATGATTAATTTAATTTGGTGACTCATTGAGACACTTTTTGACTTTCAGTTTTGACCAACAGAATCTCTATAATTCTAGTACTTGGTGTTCTCTCCTGTTGCTCTAATCACTTCTACCACTCTTCTGTTATGAACTAATATAGTTCTAATGACAGACAACTCGACAAGAGCTAAGCCAAATGTTCAAGGTAAGCTAAGACAGAGGGAGTGCCTCTGACATAAGGTACGGACAACGGGTGAGGTGACAGCACAGGCTTTTGCCTGTAGACAGATGTCAGAGTGGAATGCAGTTCATACACAATGCACTCACTGTCTTGATGAGTGCCACCCTATCATGATATTTCTTCTTCTCCTCCTTGTCAAGTTTCCTCCAATAGTTCTCGAATGTAGCATTGGTGCCACCTATGTTGGACTCCACCCAATTGATAGCACAGATACTCCTATTAGAACCACAAGAATACAGTGACTTGCAAAACCATTACAATGTTTGGTACTTTTTCAGTGTACACAATATAGCATCTATGCACATGGAAATCATGCTTAGTGTTGCTGGGGGCATGTGGACTACAAACCCTTGGCTACAGACTGACACTTGGATCATGTGATTTGGCCAAGGGGATGTGAAGATATGCCTATTTCAAGACAGAGATGCCATTGTAACAGTTTTGCAGCTGTTGATATAGATGGTGGGATCTCAGTCAAATCAGAGGATGGTTACTGTTATTTGCTTATACAAATAGAAATATACATAAAAATATTATGTCTGAGTTTGAAATTGCTCCCATGCTTCTTTATTCTTAATTATTACCACCATGGAATCTCTCTCTACTACTCAAAAGAATACCATTCTCTTTCAGCTTAATGCTGGTCATTCTATTCACTCTATTGCCTCTACAACTGGTGTCAGCACTACTACTATCTCCAAGCTTCATTAAAAAGAGTGTTCCTACTTGCAAAAGTTCACTGGTGGTCATTCAACCAAGCTTTCCTCAGTTAATATTTGACATCCTATTTGTTTCATCTTCACTCAGCAGGCAAAAACTGCTATCCAAGTGATCAAATCTTTTTCAAATATTGTCAATTAGCCCCCAAACCCAAGTACCACTTGCTGCTACCTGAAAAGCTGGGATGAGGTCTGTAGTCAAGTCCAAACACTCTCTACTGTCTGCCAAATATTGCAAAGCACACTTGGACTTTGCCTATACTCACAAAAATTGGACTTTGGAGGACTGAAAGTTGGTCATATGGTCTGATGAAACCAAAATTAATTACCTAGGGTCAGATGGTTGCAAATGGGCTTGGAAAAAGTCAGGAGAGGGGCATAGTGACAGATTAGTATAAGGAACTGACAAGTTTAATGGAAATTCTGTGGTGATATGGGGCTGTATGACCTGTGAAGAAGTTAGCTATGCTGCTAAGATTGATGGTAGAATGGATGGAGATCTTTACCTTCAAATTTTGAAGGATAAACTTCAGAATTTCCTGGAGTTTTATTATCTTCATGCTTCTGATGTCATCTTTCAGCAAGACAATGACCCTAAGCATACCTGCAAAAAAGTCAAGAAGTGACTAGATGGGCAGGAATTTAGGACTATGGTGTGGTCTGCACAATTTCCTGACCTTAACCCATTGGAATATCTCTGGGACCTTGTCAAAAGGAGACTTGCAGAGTATGAGCATCCCCCTAAGGAAATAGTAGCAATGGTTGGGAATAAAGATGCATGGGAGCAATTTCAAACTCAGACATAATATTTTTATGTATATTTCTAATTGTATAAGCAAATAACAGTAACCATCCTCTGATTTGACTGAGATCCCACCATCTATATCAACAGCTGCAAAACTGTTACAATGGCATCTCTGTCTTGAAATAGGCATATCTTCACATCCCCTTGGCCAGATCATGTGATCCCAGTGTCAGTCTGTAGCCAAGCATTTTTAGTTCACATGCCCCCAGCAACACTAAGCATGATTCCTACATGCATAGGTGCTATATTGTGTATACTGAAAAAGTACTAGACATTGTAATGGTTTTGCAATTCACTGTAGTATAGCCTATTGTTTATTTAAAAAAAAACTTACTTTGCAGTTGCTCAATCATTTGTCTCCTTGGTTGCATTTGGGTTTTTCTTGAAGTTCTTCTTGGTAGCCTTTGTGGAATCTGCATCGAAGTCAGCAGTGATGGCAACTGCAGCATTTGGAGTAGTATGGGTAGTGGTATCCTTTGTAGCCAGAATAGAATTTGATAGAAGCTGGATAAACAAGTGTTTGGCCTCAATAGTCAGAGGCACAGCAACATCATTGATGTCGTTCATACTCACAGTTGCCATATGTGCAATGAGGTCATTTGTTGAGGAGAAAGCAGTGGCAGGTGGCATCACGCCAGTAGGGATAATGCCAGATGGAGTCTCCAACTTTGTTTTAAACAAACCTGTCAGTGGGTTGACAATCTAGAAACAATTAGTTGCCATTTAAATAATACAAATAATTCAACATCACCTTGACAGCACATAGCACAGTGCTGGCAAGAGTAGACTGCAATGGTGCCAGTAGTCTATTGTTATTGTAGGATGTCTCATGGTCCTCCTTCTTCTTTGGATGTGTTGTGGATGGTGATATGGTGATGGATTGCAGTTGCTTTGATTTTGCAGATGCTGTGTGTACTAACATTTTGTGAGAGCTCTCCTGTTTGATGACCTTCTCCTGTGTGCCAGTATTACCCAGCTCCTTTGGCCTATGTATCCATTGTGGGTAATGTCGGATAGCAAATTGATTGGTCTTCCAGTCAGAATTGCACAAGTAAAAGTGCACAAATGCCTTCTGCATCAAAAGTCGAACAAATTCAAGGGCCAGTATGTTGATCTTTGTCCATGAGGTAGGTGCATGCCCAAATCTGAGCAATGTAAACCAGAGTGTGTGGAGAGTCTCACACATTTTCTGCTGGATGGCCTCTGACATGACAAAACCATCTTCATTGACAAGATAGGATGTGGAGCCAGTGCCATCAGGGCACTTGACTTTGAGGACACCATGACCACCCATATATTCCTTTGTCCAGTCACTCTTGAACCAGTAGTACACACCATCATAGTCATCTTTGCAATGTACTGGGATCTGTATGTTGGCCTCATGCACCATCTTCAATATTTCAGTAAAGGGGTCCGTGGGTGTGCTGATGCCAAGAGAGCCAATGCATTCCAGGAGTTGCTTGTATCTAGAACTAGAGAAGAGTATAATCAGTTTTGGATGTGACAATGTGAAAGAAAAACAATCACCTTGATATCTCAAGTTTGCCCTCAAGAGATATGACTTGCTGCTCAAGCTTGATAATCTTCTGCTCTAGAGCGTGATTCTCCTTCTTCAGCATAGATGCCTCATTTTCGCTGGAGTTAGCATGCATATATGCACTACCTCACTGGCTATATGCATGCACAAAGTTGGACTGGAAGCCAGGAGGATGACACAATAATGAAGATGAGCTGTCTGTGAATGATTTTCCACTGTGAGATGTAGTATCCTGGGGTCCTAGTTAGGGGTACCATTAAATATGTAAATCAATAGAAACACACACACTTGGATAATAACTATCAAACTCATGAGACACAGATCTATCTCTATGAGAGAAATGTTCCCTCAGGTCATTTTCATGTAATGTGAGGTGTATTGACTCTGGAGATGGGAGAAGTGACTCAGAAGAAGTTTGGTCATTTCTAGGATTTTGCAACTTCTATCGAAACTTCATCCCCCACTACTCTGACATTGCCAGACCTCTAATTGATCTCACTAAGAAAGACACTAAATTTCTATGGTCTAATCATTGTGTCTCCACATTCTCCACCCTGAAAGAATGCTTTCTAAAACAACCCATCCTTCGAAACCCAGATCCGAGCAGACAGTTTGTGGTAGCTACCGATGCTTCGCTCATCACTACCGGTGCAGTATTGCTGCAAACCAATGAAAATGGTGTTTACCACCTGTGTGGGTACCTATCACAGACATTGAACCCCGCAGAATGCAACTACCAGATATTTGATTGAGAGCTCCTAGCTGTTATTCGTGCTCTAACCGAATGGCATCATTATTTGGAAGGCAACCCCCATCCCATCCTCGTCTTCACCGACCATAAAAACCTCTTGTACTTCCATTCAACCCAAAAGCTAACTCATCGGCAAGCCCATTGGCAGTTGCTTCTGTCCTGCTATGACCTTGAGCTTCATCATGTAGCTGGAACCAAGCTTGCTGCCCCTAATGCACTTTCCCGCCACCCTGATCATGGTGTTGACACCACCAACAATAATGCAGATGTCACCCTCCTCCCCAACTCCATGTTCATTCGCCTTCTTGATGTCAAACTTATGACTTCCCTTGTGAACCCTGACCCCTCCGACCCTGACCCCATCTTCCAAGCTGCTTCTGACGCCCTTGATGGCCTATCTCTCCCTCCAATGAAATCCGCTCTTGCTGATTGGATGATCAAAGATGATATCCTTTATTATAAAGATCGTGCTTATGTCTGTCCTGCCGGTTGCCACCTTATTTTGGAACAATGTCATGATCACACTACTGCCAGTCACCCCGGGTGTTTTAAAACTGAAGAGCTGGTTAAGCGAGACTTTTGGTGGCCCTCTATGGGTACCTGTCATATCCCATATGCCAGACATAGATCCCATCATATTCCCACGCTTTCCGGACCCATTTCCGGACCCCATATCTGACTCATTCCTGGATCCCCTATCCTGTCCACCCTATGCACATTCTGTCCAGCAAGACATCTGGATTTTACCTCCTCTTGGATTCTGGACTACATCCACCACCTCACATATCTCAGTCCTGTTTCTGTCCTGCCTTCCAGATCCCCAGATCTCCGGACCTCCAGATATTAACTGTACTATCTCCAGACCTATTCCCACCCTCCGTCCGAGATCCTGCACCTATCCCCATTTAGGCATCTCCCCCTTTCTGGTTCTCGGTTATCTCTGTTTCCATCTTGCTGATTGATCCTTGTACTAGTTTCATCTCCAAGTTCATTTACTTATGTTCTGTCTTACTTACCAATATGTTTCCACATGCTCATACATAGCCTTACTCCTTTGCTTACTGATCCTCTCAGATAGCCTCTAGTATATAACCCCTGTACAACTACAGTAGAGTCCTCAGTCTGAATATCATCTTAGATCCTGTTCTACTTGCCATTCATCTTCCGGACTTCAGTCCATCTGAGTCTTGTCCTTTTCCATAAGGCCTAGGGAAGGATTCCCTAGGCTGGAATTCTGGACCTTTGGATTTGTCCCCTATGTCTCTGTCCCAAGTCTAGGGATTGCTTCCCTAGGCTGGAGTCTTGCCTTTCTGGCACTTACCCTCTTTCTGGACTTAGGTCCACTTCTTGTCCCTCCAACTCTCCCTTAGGGTAGTCTACCTCTGTTTGCTTCTGCATCGGACTTCATCCAATGTAGCCCCTATTCCTTCTGGACCTCCGGACCTCCTGTCTTCTGTACCTCTGGACGTCCTGTCCCTCATACCTCTGGGCATCCTGTCCTTCAGACGTTCCACCCTCCATACCTTTGGATGTTCCACCCTCCATACCTTTGGACGTTCCATCCTCCATACCTCCAGACCTCCTGTCCTCCATACTCTGGACCTCCGGACATCTTGTCCTCCTGTCCTCCAGACCTCCTATCCTTCCATCCTGATTTCATGTAGAAGTATTACCTTGCAGTGGGAACTCTCCTAAGCATTTCCTGCATTCCTCTGGAACTCTCCCATGCTCCTCCGGACATTTCCCACACTCCTCCGGAAGTCCTCCCACACTCTCCACCAGAGTAGCCAGCCTCCAGAAGTCCTCTGGACTTTGTCAGACCATCATCGGACTTCCTCTGAAATGCAGGGCACATACTCAGGTAAGGGGCACAGCATATGAGCTGAGGCCAAGCCCCTCTGAGTCAGTCTCTCTCCCCTTTGAGCATGGTTCTTAACACTATGTATGAGCATGTGGAAACACATTGTAAGTAAGACGGAACATAAGTAAATGAACTCGGAGATGAAACTAGTACAAGGATCAATCAGCAAGACAGAAACAGAGATAACCAAGAACCAGAAAGGCGGAGATGCCTAAATGGGGATAGGCGCAGGATCTTGGACAGAGGGTGGGAATGGTCCGGAGATCTGGGGATCCAGAAGGCAGGGCGGAAACAGGACTGAGATATGTGAGGTGGTGGATGTAGTCCAGAATCTGAGAGGAGGTAAAGTCCGGATGTCTTGCTGGACGGAATGTGTGTAGGGTGGACAGGATAGGGGATCCAGGAATGAGTTAGATATGGGGTCCGGAAACAGGTCCGGACAGCATGGGAATATGATGGGATCTATGTCTGGCATATGGGATATGACAGTTTGCCACAATCAGGATCAAGAGTCGGGATCATAACCATCAAAGCATTGTGCTGAGCTCAACAAATGGCACACTGTGTGAGGTTAGCATATGGATTTGATGGCTGACAGATCTCCCCAACAAGGTTCCCAATAGTGCACTTCATAGTCAACTGCAAAGCACATATAAGGGGTCCCTTGGTTACAACTTCATTTGCATAATGTCCCAGGGTGTGAATACTTTGCCATATGAAGTGAATCCATTCAAGCTTGCACTGGTAATAGAGCTGCTCAAATTCCTCAATGAATTCAATGAATAACCTAGCAGCAACCTCAAGTTCCTCACATGTGATGTTGTACTGTGAAATTATGCGAATGGCACAGATGAAATGTTGCCAGTAGGGAAGTGGGAGGACATTGTGAAGTACCAGTGGACCTATCCCATAGAGAAGTATGGTGAACTCCCATGCCTTGTAGCCACTGTTGATTTTTTCAGCTGGATTATGAGGGGGGCGATCAAAAAAACCTGGGAGATGTGGCATTGTTGCAGCGACAGCTTTGCCAAAATCCTTCCAAACATTTCCAGTAAGAACTGCCCAGGTCCATGTGGACTTGTCATCGTCAGCATCACATTTGAATGTGCCACACCACAGAGGGATAAAAAGGTTGGGAATGTTGAGGGAAATGAGGTGCATAATATCTGATCTGAAGCATTTGGGAATACCAAAGGTACAAGCAGATGAGAAACCAAGAAATATGCTTGGTTTTGAGATACCTGTTTCCAAGTGTTGTTTCTTGTACTGTGCTTCATTAGGTGATGGGAGGACATATATTAAGTTTCTCCAGTAGATATCTGAAGAACATATAGGGAGGTTCTTGACATCCACATCAGGATGATTGCAACCTTCAACATTATAGTCTGGGGGCCTCATATGTGCAGGGTAGTAGTGTGGGCACCCAGCTTTATGGCATCCTCTAACACCACAGTACAACTGACAGCCATTCTTCCCATGGTGGCTGATGAGGTCATTGAGGTATGCGAGCCCAGGGCCATCAGTAGTTCCCAGTGCAAGGAAAGGATGGGAAACAAATGTGATGTTGCACATTGCATCCCACACTGTGAGTCCTTCTTTTTGAAGTGCTGCAAGGTGGTGGAAACCAGGGAACAGGAAGGAGTTGAGGTTTTTGGGTTTGCGAGGTCCAGGAATAATGACACCAGGTAGGACGTACTTCTTTTTGTACCTTGTCTCTGGGGAACAGTCAAATACAACCCATATCAACATCCAGCAGTTGGATGGTTTTGATTTGTACAGTTGAGCACCATCAATGGACATCATGAGAATGATGTCCTCATTTGTGATCTTGCCTGCTGCAACCACCTTGGGGTAGTCAGTCCCATCAATGAAATCACGCCTGGACTGCTTGTGTCCATGTTCACATTCAAGCTCCTTAGCAATTTGCTGGGTGCGCTCATTGTGGTAAGACATCTCTTGCACACTCTGTGGATCATGATATGAGGCTTGTAGCTGGGGGCCAATGGGGACAGAGACAAACTGTTTGTGAGGTGTCTTGACTTTACCATGAGTTCAATGTAGTAGCTCCACACCTCAGCAGGATTAGCTCTGCTATGGAATTACCCCTGAGCTCCAGACCTCCAGATCCTCACTACTAGCCTGATCTGTACACCCCTATCCTGTCCACCATATGCACATTCCGTCCAGCAAGACATCCAGACTTTACCTCCTCTTGGATTCCAGACTACATCCACCACCTCACATATCTCAGTCCTATTTCCGCCTTGCCTTCCGGATCCCCAGATCTCTGGATATTAACTGTTACTATCTCTGGACCTATCCCCACCCTCTGTCCGAGATCCTGCGCCTATCCCCATTTAGGCATCTCCACCTTTCCAGTTCTCGGTTATCTCTGTTTCCATCTTGCTGATTGATCCTTGTATTAGTTTCATCTCCAAGTTCATTTACTTATGTTCCATCTTACTTACTAATATGTTTCCACATGCTCATACATAGCCTTACTCCATTGCTTACTGATCCTCTCAGATATCTTCTAGTATATAACCCCTGTACAACTCCAGTAGAGTCCTCAGTCTGAATATCATCTTAGATCCTGTTCTACTTGCCCATTCTTCCGGACTTCAGTCTATCTGAGTTTGTCCTTTTCAATAAGGCCTAGGGATGGATTCCCTAGGTCGGAATTCTGGACCTTTGGATTTGTCCCCTATGTCTCTGTCCCAAGTCTAGGGATTGCTTCCCTAGGCTGGAGTCTTGCCTTTCCAGCACTTACCCTCTCTCTGGACTTCAGTCCACTTCCTGTCTCTCTGACTCTACCTTAAGGTAGTCTACCTCTGTTTGTTTCTATATTGGACTCTGTACGATGTAGGCCCTATTCCTTCTGTACCTCCGGATGTCCTGTCCTCCATACCTCCATGTCCTGTCCTGTGTACCTCCAGACCTCCAGACCTTCTGTCCTCCTGTCCTCCTGTCCTCCTGTCCTCCTGTCCTCCTGTCCTCCTACCCTTTCATCCTGTTTCCTGTAGAAGTATTACCTTGCAGTGGGAACTTTCCTGTGCTCCTCCAGACATTTCCCACACTCCTCTGGAAGTCCTCTAGCACTCCACCAGAGTAGCCAGCCTCCAGAAGTCCTCTGGACTTTGTCAGACCATCATCAGACTTCCTCTGAAATGAAGGGCACATACTTGGGTAAGGGGCGCAGCATATGAGCTGAGGCCAAGCCCCTCTGAGTCAGTCTCTCTCTCCCTTGAGCATGGTTCTTAACACCCCAAGTGACTTCCGTGTGGACTTCTCCACACTTCCTGGTACAGTTGCAATAGTAAGATTTCAGATGCATCAATGAATGGGGCCAAAGACTGCAAGATACGGAAAGCATGAACAGCAGAGTTGCTTTGCATGCTTCTCATACTTTACAGCCCAGACACAGCAAATATGGTGAATGACAAGACAAGTAAGTGTTGTTGTCAATAATGTTGCCTTTCTGGGTCATAGCTAATTTGTTTACATGATGTGACCTGGAAAAATGAACCAAAGTATGTCTAAGCATGGCTCAGCATAGCTTCCCTCTGTATTCTTGTGGCTCAGCATGGCTCAGCCTGTTGCAGGTTTTGACTTGGGCTGACCACTTGCCTTGGATCCACCATAAGGTCTAGGCCACCCCAGATAGTGTGATATTATTGAAATGCCCACAGGAAGTCAGGGTTTAGTGAGCTCAATGTATCTTGAAATTGTTCAAACTTCATGAACTCCACAGCCATTCCTCTGTGTCAGATTCTGAGCCAAAATAACAATTTATTGGTTACCAGGATCAGTCCAGAAATGCCACCAGTTTTCAACATCCACACCCTTTCATGAAGTCTCAGTGGAACAAAGCCCATTTGCTTTATAACCAGATGACCAGATTGTCCACAAAAGACAAAGCTGCAAAGTGTTGGACTGTCCAGGAGATCAGTAGCCTGGGGGGCTGGATAGTTGTAGGTCACCCAATTGACACATCCATAAGAATCCTGCACCAAAGATTGGGAGAACTGAGGATCTAACATCACTCATACCCAGTAAGACATTACTAGAGCCAAAGACCAGGTTGTATCTGATGGTGTCATATCCCATATGCCAGACCTAGATCCCATGATAATCCCACGCCTTCTGAGCTTACATCCAGACCCCATATCTGACTCATTCCCAGATCTCCTTCCACTGTATGCTCCATATTTCAGCAGGATTAGCTCTACTACAGAATTACCCCTGAGCTCTGGACCTCCAGATCTTCACTACTAGCCAGATCCATACACCCCTATCCTGTCCACCCTATACACATTCCATCCAGCAAGACATCTGGACTTTACCTCCTCTTGGATTCTGGACCACATCCACCCTCTCATATATCTCAGTTCTGTGAAAGTTGACCATCTTTCTTTCTCAGAGTTTTATTTACCCAGTTCAGGGAAGGGTTCCCATGCATCACACCATGAATGAACATCTGAGTGTTCAGACATGTAAGGGTGCCATCCACACATTCACATAGGGCAGGAATGGTGTAGGTAGCAAGAGAAGTGTTAGTGGGCATGCCAGGTGTAGGGTGGAGATAGTGACACATATTATCTTCTTCACCCTTGTCAACAACCTCTTGTGGTCACACTTCCCATTTTATGGGTTCAAAAACTTCAATATCTTCATGGGTCAAGTCAACAAACTCCTTGGGTCCTGAAATTTTGAGTGCAGCAAAACCCCAGTTGATCAGCAACCCTCAACAGATTGGGTTATGGAGTTGCCCTGGAGTACAGTCCCAGATATTTCGAAGTTCTTTGGATACCCATTCCCTTTCCACAGGCCAATCTGAATGCCTTTGAGATACTATCATAAAGTTCCATGGGCTCATGTCATGATGGAGAATAAAATAGGATCCCTTGCCAGAATTTGCTGAGACACTACAAGCTTGCTTGTGCACTGAGAAACATTGGCATCAGTATTACTATCTTCAGATAGGTTGCAAACACTTGCACTCCAAAAGGTCCCTCAGGATGCAGAGTAACTCTAAGAGACTGGAAAACCAGTAAATGATAGGAGTGCTGATGGAGTATAAGTAGCTCCAAACATGACTGCATGATGAAGTGATGATTTGTCTTGTGACCCTTCTGGTCATTGTCAATGATCCATGGTATATGTGAAATTGAAGCTGTGACAGATGGTGATGGAGAATGTTGTCCCTTCCCCTTCCCCTTAGCCAATGCCTTCAATTCAGTCTTAATCTTCTCTGCTGGCAGTATGGAAACAACTTGTTTGAACCAGGAAATATAGCATGGTTTGTGGTTCTTCATCTTCATTTCCAGGTTGTCCTTCTGGTACATGATTTGTGTAGCATATGGTAATACTTGCAACCTCCACACACACCACCAAGAGTGGATATACATGGTATTGTTGATGAACTGAGGTTGATGGACCACAGACATTGGGGGGGCAGGGGAGTCAGTGAAGGTTCAACAACTCTGCTGGGCTGCAGAGCAAAAGAAAGAAAGAAGGGGCTCTCACTCTGGTGGTGAGAGGAAGTCCTACTGACTCTCTAAGTGTTGGTTGAAGTGCGCCAGGCAATATGTTCGACCCTTAAGGGAAGCAAAGAAAGCAAGATCCACTGGGTGATGCCAGATCAACTCTGGTGAAGCACGCTGAAAGCGTGTGTGCAGGAATGTCGAGCGTGTAGGAGCATGAAGCGTGGGAATAAGGCGCACACAGTGTGTGAACATGTAAAAGACTGGTGAAAGGTGTGAAGGCGTGAACTAAGACTACTGAGTGATGACTGGTGATAATAGACTGAGCTGAGGACTAGGGCAACGACTCTGATAGATGCTAACTCATGATGGATTCTAATTGCTAGATGACTACTGGATGGTGGTGGTTGGTTTATGAAAACTTGCTAGGCAACAGGTAAGCTGTGCCTAGGCACACTCCCAGGGCTTGGAAGCGAACAGGGAGTGCTCTATGTATGTAAGTGAGGTAAATAAAGGGTCCATGATGAAATATAGTGTCATATAATGCTAAATATGAGAATAAATGAAAAGGGACGCACCAGGGGACTGGTTGGACAATGGATGGATGCTCCAGGATGCTGCATGACAAAGTGCAATTGAGCACAGGAAGAGCGCGGGAATGCATCGCGCCTCTGGCATGTTTCACAGGAAAGTCATAGCTAGTGAGTTGCACACTATACCGATTGTCATGAGTTGCAATATGGGCAATATACACCTGGAGGAATCTCATTCTCTACATTGGGACCCAGCACAGGCTTCTTGTCTAAACACCATGAAACACCCCAAACCCCCTTGGCATGAAGGAGCTGTAAAATGGAGCCTTCACTCAGTGCTTCCTCTTCATCTTCCTCCCAAGAGTCCTTGGAGATGATCCCCAAAATTTTATCTCCAGGTTTCACACCAGGAAGACTCATATATTGTGTGCCTCTATTGCCATAGAAATTGGCAACTACCTCTGAGACAACCTTCAGCAAGTGGACGGTCACTCCACAGCTGGTTATCCTGCCTGTCATGTGAAGTACTAGCTGCACTTCAAGATCCTGGAGGCCCAGCCTGTCACATGCCAGGTCTAACCTCAGCTGATGAGATGCTCTGGACCCGCTAATACTGGTATCATAGTCAATGTAGCATCTCTCAGTGAAAGATATACCCAAAATGAGCCAATACAAAAGAAGGGCTTGTGTGTTGATGTTGGTAAATGGTGCTGTGATAGACCCTCCATGATCATATGCTATGTAACTAAATTGATCCTGCAATATGCAGATCAGGAGGATAAACCTAACAAAAGTTATTTTTAAATACAATTGGCAGGAAGGATCTCCACAAAAGGGAGACACTTCAAGCCAAAGACAGAGACTATGTTCCAGGAGCTATTTAGTGAGCTGAGGAAGCTACAACTAGGGGATGCTACTAAATAACCCAAGTAAATGAGTAATAAAGAACTGGAGACAAGGGAAAATTAAGTAGTGACTGTAGAGTTTTAGGTAAAGGAAAGATGATTATGTAAGCAGCAAAAATACAACCATAACCTAAGGAAAGTGGGAGTAAGAGAAGGTAAGTAAAATGAGCAAATAACAGCCCAAGGAAAACTTATTTGTCACAGTGGGATTGAATATTTGAATATTGATGCTTGTATCCACAAACCCTACTGCTTGTCCACAACCTCAACAACTGATTTCCCCACCTGTTGCAATTCATAATGCCCACAATGAAGATGACCATGAGAAAGTTCACTGGAGGCATGGCTCCTCAGATGCTCCTTACAATGCCTGACCTGGAGATATGCAATGATGGCGCTGACTACTATGCCTCATGTTCTCCATACATCACTCCTTCTGCACTGTGCAGTTTATTTATGAATAATAGTTATAATATTTCAATAATAATTATATTAAAGGTTTCTTCAAATATGCCCATGTCATGTCTAGGTAAACTTGTGAGTATTTTGAAGGTATTTTTTGGAGGGACAAACAGTTGCAACCTTTGCACCATGACAACTTGTGCCAGTTGGCCAAGTGTGTTAGAGTCCAAAGTTGTGGTGTTTGAAGTATTTTGGAGACAAGGAAGTGTCATGGTGGAGCAAAACACTCATAACCTCAGCAGTTGGGGGACTGATGAGTAAGTTCCCTGCTCTAGGTGCTGAGATGAGTTGTATTATCATGTTCCTGAGCTTTATCACCATGATTTATGCATTTCCTTCATATTGTGCCCTGAAGAGCCTGGCCCATGCCTTTGCTTCAGGTTTTTGGGACCACCTGGCCTGAATGTCTGCAGGAATGTTATTCCATACTAAGTTGCAAAGTTGTGGGATATGGAACCCTCCCAAGGGATCACTGTTAGCTTGAATCCATTATCAAGTGCTTGGACACCCTTCACTAAATGTAACATGAGTACTGGTAATAGTTAGAATTCATTTTTCTCACATATCTCCCACTGTAGGTTAATGGTTTGTCTTGGTAGTATATATCAGGGGAGTATTGGATGTTGCCTTGGAGACCATAGCTGTTTGTAGATTCATTGTATTGGGAGTATTGGTTTCATTGCAGGGAGGTAGTCCATTAAGCATGGTTTAGGCAGCAGCTGATATGTTAGCAGTGGATGTGTGTTCTTTAGAGATAGGAGGATTGATATTAGAGGTGGTAATGACAGAGAAAGATTCTTGAGTAGGGATTATGTCCATGCTAGTTGTAGGTGAGGGAGAGACATCTATGTTTGCCCTTTTAGTCTTTCTTTCTTTGGGTGTAGCATGCGAATTCACATTAGATATAACACAGGGATGTTTACCATCATAGGAGTCAGTGACAATGCAAGAGGCAGGAGGGAAAGACAGTTTAAATACTTAGACAATAATAGTAGTCACAGGTATTTGGGAGCTTGACTAGCTGATGGGAGCAAATATTGTTTAAGATGGGTTGGTTGGGCTCTGTGTTTATAGGTAGGTAGGATGGCAATACTCCTTTGTGCTACTCACTGTCCTTGAGGCATTACTACTATAAAATCTCTTTCTACTACTCAAAAGAATATCATCCTCTCCCAGCTTGATGCTAGTCATTATATTCACTATATTGCCTTCACAACTGGTATCAGCACTGCTATTATCTCTAGGTTTCATTCCAAAGAGCATTCATACCTGCAAAAGTCCACTGGTAGTCATCCACCCAAGCTTTCCTCTGCAAATATTTGCCATGCTATCCATCTTATCTCTACTCAGAAAGCAGAAACTGCTGTTCAAGTGACCAAATCTCTTTCAAACATTACCAATCGGCCTCTTTATCCAAGTACCACTTCCTACTACCTGAAAAAAGCTGGGATAAAGGCTGTAGTCAAGTCCAAACACCCTCCACTTTCTACCAAACATTACAAAGCACACTTGGACTTTGGAGGACTGGATGGTAGTCATATGGTCTGATGAAACCAAGATTAATTGCCTAGGGTCAGATGGTTGCAAATGAGCTTGGAAAAGTCAGGAGAAGGGCTCAGTGACAGATTGGTACAAGGAACCATCAAGTTTGGTATAGGTTCTGTGATGATGTAGGACTATACGACCTAGGAAGGAGTTGGCTATGCTACTAAGATTGATGGTAGAATGGATAGTGATCTTTACCTTCAAATTTTGAAAAATGCACTTCAGAATTTTCTGGAGTTTTATGATTTTAATCCTTCTGATGACATCTTTGAGCAAGACAATGACCCTGAGCATAGCTGCAAAAAGGCCAAGGAGTGGCTAGATGAGCAGGAATTTAGGACTATGGTATAGCCTGCACAATCTCCTGACTTTAACCCATTGGAACATCTCTGAGGTCATGTCCAAAGGAGGCTTGAAAAGTATGAGCATCCTCCTAAGGGAATGGAGGAGTTGTGAAGAGGGATTGAGAAGAAATAAAACAAGACACCAGCTGAGGTATATCAGAAATTAATTGAAAGTATGCCTAGGAGGATTGAGGCAGTACTTAAAGCCAAAGGAGGTTATACCAAGTACTAATATTTCTCAAATACCCTACTTATTATCAATAGTTGCAAAACTGTTATAATGATATCTCTGTCTTAAAATAGGCATATCATCACATCTCTGAGGCCAAGTCACATGACCCAAGGTTGAATTGCAGCCTGGGATTGGTAGTCTACCAACCCTAAGCTTTATTCCCATGCACTCAGGCACTATATCCTGTACACTACAAAAGTACCAAACATTGTAATGGTTTTGCAAGTCACTAGATATATACATCCAGCCACAACTTTGGTTATCACTGCATTGTGTCCTTGAATTGACCCAATTCAACTAGGCAGGTAGGATATATAAGAACAGGATTCATCATTGCCTTGAACCAAGTAGTCTTAACTTTCCTTGATCTCCACATAGCTACTTCTCTAGCATCTATCAACTTGAATCCATTGACTACATGAGCTTCTCATATTAAAATGTGGCCCAGATAGCTTTATTGTGTGACCACCTATATTATACCATTAAGAACAGACACTGGAGAGGCTGTTCCACACTTGTGAGCAATGGATTCTTGTAAAATTGTCTAAGTCCCCCACCTGAACTCTTATCATGAACATTCCCAAAACACTATGCCACAACAGAGGCTTTCACACATGACAAACCTTGCTGGTATTGCTGGTCAACAATAGTGAAAAATTGTAGACTTCTAGAGACCATTAAGGACTCACTAAAACTGTGGGATTGACAGTGGCACATACACATAACTCTACCTGAAGTTGATTTTAATCATTGATTCTCAAACAGCTGTTGAATGCTACAGAATCACTCAAATAATCAACAGAAGCAGTGAAGTACATCTTCTATGTTGTGGTCACTTGGTATGACAATAGTTGCAATTGGTATGCGCCACAATGTGGTGTACTATGACATGTTTATCTACATAAGGGATCATTTATTTGTCCTCATTTGTCAATCAAAATCAACCATCAAGCCAATTAAATGAAAATCTGATATACTGTCCACAATGAGTGTTAATATCCCTCTTGAGTTTATCAAAAAGGTTTTAACTCTTGCCACTTGCCAACACAAGGATGCAGCATCCTGGATTTGGATTTCCAGATGAACCTACACCCTGTGAGCATCTAATGTCACAATAACACCATTTCATTTTTGCTTATTGTCCATCTACAGGTTCAAATGATTACTGTATACTAAGGTCATCTTGGTAAATAAATATCATGTATCCTGATTTGTGAAATGCTATCATATTTGGGAAACACGCATTGAGCCTTTACCACCAACCACAGCTATGTTTCCCTGCAATGGTATCATGTATGTCAGAAATTTCTAATTTTGGTTGGCATATCTTAAATTAGCATGCAAAGTCCCAATTTGTTGGTGGCATTGTGGTCCGGTTGCAAGGGATCCTGAAAATTATGGAAGCTGCTTGTAAGCAACACAGACATTCTTCCAAGACAGTCCTAAGACCATTCCAATACAAGGTCACAATTTTGAGAACTGTCATATCCTGTATGCCAGACATAGATCCCATCATATTCCCACGCTTTCCGGACCTGTTTCCAGACCCCATATCTGACTCATTCCTGGATCCCCTATCCTGTCCACCCTATGCACATTCCGTCCAGCAAGACATCCAGACTTTACCTCCTCTTGGATTCCGGACTACATCCACCACCTCACATATCTCAGTCCTATGTCTGTCCTGCCTTCCAGATCCCCAGATCTCCGGACCTCCAGATATTAACTGTACTATCTCCAGACCTATTCCCACCCTCCGTCCGAGATCCTGCACCTATCCCCATTTAGGCATCTCCCCCTTTCTGGTTCTCGGTTATCTCTGTTTCCATCTTGCTGATTGATCCTTGTACTAGTTTCATCTCCAAGTTCATTTACTTATGTTCTGTCTTACTTACCAATATGTTTCCACATGCTCATACATAGCCTTACTCCATTGCTTACTGATCCTCTTGGATAGCCTCTAGTATATAACCCCTGTACAACTACAGTAGAGTCCTCAGTCTGAATATCATCTTAGATCCTGTTCCACTTGCCAATTATCTTCTAGACTTCAGTCCATCTGAGTTTGTCCTTTTCCATAAGGCCTAGGGATGGATTCCCTAGGCTAGAATTCTGGACCTTCAGATTTGTCTCCTATGTCTCTGTCCCAAGTCTAGGGATTGCTTCCCTAGGCTGGAGTCTTGCCTTTCTGGCACTTACCCTCTTTCCAGGACTTAGGTCCACTTCCTGTCCCTCCAACTCTACCTTAGGGTAGTCTACCTCTGTTTGCTTCTGCATCAGACTTCATCCAATGTAGCCCCTATTCCTTCCAGACCTCCAGGACCTCCTGTCTTCTGTACCTCTGGACATCCTGTCCCTCATACCTCTGGGCATCCTGTTCTTCAGACGTTCACCTCCGTACCTCTGACCTCCTGTCCTCCATACTCTGGACCTCCAGGACATCCTATCCTTCCATCCTGTTTTCCTGTAGAAGTATTACCTTGCAGTGGGAACTCTCCTGAGCATTTCCTGCTTTCCTCCAGAACTCTCCCGCTCCTCCACGTTCCTGCCTCCAGAAGTCCTCCTGCACTCTCCACCAGAGTAGCCAGCCTCCAGAAGTCCTCTGGACTTTGTTGGACCATCATCAGACTTCCTCTGAAATGAAGGACACATACTCAGGTAAGGGGCACAGCATACAAGCTGAGGCCAAGCCCCTCTGAGTCAGTCTCTCTCTCCTTTGAGCATGGTTCTTAACAAGAACAACTAAAAACACCCCTCTTTGGAAGGTCATTGCAAGTCACATGATATTATTCCAAGTGTTTTGAGGACTTATACAGACAGTGCAATTCTTCTAAGGTAGTGGTTTGAATTACAAATATTTTGTGCATTCTAATACTGCTGCTGGGTTGCCCCTCATCCCCAGGCACTTGGAGGTCAGAACCTTCGAAAGCAGCTTTAAATCCTGCAGGAGAATCATGTCAAGTACAGTAAATGTGAATAAACAAACAAGCTCACCTCTAGTAAGTAGAACTGACAACACGAGACACAGGCCATTCATGGTGAGACCCAGGTCCAGGTGCTATGGTGTTCCCATTGAAATGAACAACCAGCAATCAATAGCAATGTACTTGATAGGACTCCCCAGTCATCCTGGTGCCATTTGTTCAAGGAAATGGGAGTGACAGTGACAGAAGATGTGGAGGAGAGACATCTGATGGTAAGCAGTTGTTGCCTGCTTCGTCGATACATCAATGAGGCCAGCTATTAATATGCACAATATCAGTACTAAGTTTGGCTGAAGAGTTCAACCATTCAAATGCACCTCAATAGTTCAAATGTCATGCTAATTGCCAACTGAGGAGTTCAGAGTGTCAGACTGACAATGGCCCAAGTGCTACCACTGAGGAGTTTAAAGAGAAGCTATTGGAGATCCAGAGCATCAGACTGACAATGGCCAGAGCCCTACTACTGAGGAGTTCGAAGAGAAGCTATTGGAGATTCAGAGTGTCTCAATCGCCAGGGCGCTACCACTGAGGAGTTTGAAGAGAAGCTATTAGAGATTTGGAGCGTCAGACTGACAATGGCCAGAGCACTAATAATACATACCAATGAGGAGTTTGAAAAGAAATTATTGGAGGTTCAGATTCTCATCAACAACTGGTCTTTCTAGTCCTTGTTCTATTGCATGGTCGAAGTCTTCTTCCCATGTGTGGCTCAGTCCATCATCATTGAGAGCAGAAGAAGGGGGAACATAAGATGAAGTTCCTGAGAAAAGAGCATCATTGAAGAATGTAATGACCTGGTGTGCCCATGCACCTCCAGTCAGTAGATGCTGACGGTAGAAGTTGTGGTATTCGTGGTAAGGAATCTTTGTAGTTTCACCAATTTTGGTGAGTTCTGCATTGCCAGAGAGTAGGAATATTGCCTTGTATGAGAATACTATCAATGACCCTAATGACTGTGCAAAACTGATTTGGACTCACCATGACAGCAGCAGTAGCAATCATACCTGGTGTTATAGCTTGCAATTTCCAGATCTTGGCTTTCATCCTAGAAGATGCAGCACCTGTGGGTGCCAACAACGACTTGCCAAAGAGTGATACTTTCAAGACCTATAATCATAACAATGTACAAATTTGTTAGCCCATACTGAAACATCAAACAAAAAGAGATATACCTGCATGAGCTTTGTGGTTTTGAGCAACTAATGTGGTACCAGCTTATCAGGTATAGGAAACAGCACAGGTGCAAACTTTGTGTACTCTCCATGGGGACTCAGTAGAAGAGGGCAACAGTCAGGGTCTTCATTTTGTTTGTAGCCCCATATGAAGATACTTGCATTGAAACCAAAGATGGCACCTGGACATGACTTGATGTCAGATGCCATCTTGGAATGAGCATTGCTGACACCCCTCCCAAACTAGTGCATTGATTGTCATTAAAAGATTGGAATGTAAGAATAAATAGGCATACCTGAGATCCAAAGTTTTGATAGCTCATCAATTCACATTCTTCTTCAGGAATGAACTTGAAGAGCTCAGCCCTCACACCATCCTCCATTGAGACTCCTGTAAGCCAATGCTTCTTGCTATTGAGGTCAATGTCTGGACAGGTGTGCACTGACAGCAGGAAAAGTTCAATGTTGATCCAAAGGCAGTGGGTTATTGAGTATTTCCTCCCAAGAGCTTGTATTGTATCTTCCTTGGCTGCCATTGCAAGTTCATTTGAAGTAAGGTTGCATTGCTTGCAGCCTTTAGGTACCACAGCCTCAAGGAGCACATTCTTCTTCATGGTCTCGCGGTATTTACCACGCAAGTTGAGCAATAGCCTCTGCGAGACCTCAAGGGCCTAGTAGTAATGATCTGTGATGAGAAATGTGAACTTTCTAGCAATTCAATGGCTTACCTTGCACAGATCTTGAGACATCACATCTAGAGCAAGTGCAGTGTGGACCTGGATGAGCTCTGCATCTGAGCTATCTGAATCAGATTCTGATGAGAACTCTGAATCATTGCCAGAGCTGCACTCTGTTACTGCTGGCATTTCGACGCTGTGCTGATGGCATGATGCCTAAGTCCAACAGGCCAATCCAGATACAATTGGTTCAGATGACTCGAACTCTGGATGGAGCTGGGAGACTAATAGGATTATTAGTGTCAGTAATACATATTTATATTAGCCATGATTTGCTTACTGCCAATATACTCAGTGACTACAAACATTTAGGCCTTGAAGGTACTGCATGTTGCAATACATACAAAACCTGTACACATGCAGGTGACAGATAAGTCAATCAATGAGTTATAGGTAAGATGTGCACCTGTCTTCAAAAATGTCTTGAGGGCAGCTCGTAATGAAGCATGTGTAATCTATCAAGAGTGGTATTAGCTGCAGCATAAGATTGGACCTGCTACTCAAAGGGGACACACCATGTAATATGAAGCATGTAAGTATTCATGTTGGTTACATGAGGACATCAACATGGTAAACCTGACCCAATGATTGACAACAGGGCATTGTTATTATGTTGTTGGAGCTGGGACAATTGGGGTTTGATGAATTGTTCTGGCTTGTATGCGAATTCAGAGGCAAAGAAGAAACAGAAGACATAATTGTAGAGTTCCAGGGTAATGAGATATAGAAGAGAAAGCTGTTCAATAGAGGTGAAGGTGAAATGGATGATACAGATGAGCCAGGTCCAGTAATGAGATATGAAGGAGAGTGCTGTTTGGTAGAGGTGAAGGTGAAATGGATGATACAGATGAGCTGGGTCCAGTAATGAGCTATGAAGGAGGTTAAACACTGTCTGGTAGAGGTGAAGGTGAAATGGGTGATACAGATGAGCTGGGTCCATTGACAGTAATGAGTTATGCATAAAGGAGAGCACTGTTTGGTAGAGGTGAAGGTGAAATGGATGATACAGATGAGCCAGGTCCAGTAATGAGATCTGAAGGAGAGCGCTGTTTGGTAGAGGCGAAGGTGAAATGGATGATATAGATGAGCTGGGTCTGGTAATGACATATGAAGGAGAGCGCTGTTCATGTCCTGGCTTGTTATTGAAATAGTCATAAATGTAAATGTTGAACATACTCCAAGTCTTCAGGTACTATGGGATGAATCAGTCCAGGAGATGCCAGCAAAGGTATTACTGGACATACCATTAGTTAAAACATATATCTCTGTGAACAAAGGAACATGTTGGAGTCCACATAATCAATGAGAAACAAGTCTCCCCTCATACTAGCAAAGTCCATAACAAGTAATGCACTGCAAATAATAGAGTGAAGTGTGATAAACTCTGATGAAGCAAGTGGTCAGGCACGAAGATGTGTCAATTGAAAATCTCAATCCACAGCATGTCGTGAGCCTGTCGGAGCATCCACAGGTAGAACTAGGGCGAGATCCAACATTTGTTTGCCAATTGATTGCTTGAACATGAATAAAATGCAAACAAAAATGCTCTTATTATTTCCATCTTTGTCCTGGGTGTGAACAAGGGCACAGTCACATTGTTCACATCCATGAAAGCTCGGGTTGCAGTGCAGGTGGTCAGTGGTAAGCTTCCAGTCCACAACAGACTTGTAATTGACTTTGAGATATGTCTCAAGTTCTCTCTCTGAAAGTATGGCCTTGCATTGTTCATCATTGAAATGGTCAATGCAGCTGTGGAGGACTACAGAGATGAAGGTTGTGTGATCAAGCCTGAGTATCTAGATAGCAGCGGTTGCCAATAAGTTGATTAATCAAAAGCATGGTCAAATGTACCTGGTTTGCAATGTCTTTGCCATTTGTTTGCAGTTTATAGGCCCTCTTGATCAGCCCATGATGCTTCTCATTTGGTCACATGCTAAAGTTTCACACAGCTCCTTTTGCCCTAATGTCAGAAAATATGTGCCTCATTGAGTAAGCCTTCAGAAAATTCCAGTTTTTTGTTGCTTCATCACCAAGGATTTCAATATGTTGCTGTATGAAGTATTGGTGTCAAGTAGCACATAAATTGGTCTAAATACTAGGACTTACATCTAAGCACTTCTTGAACATGAGAATCTCGGCCTCCCCAGCTGCAATCATGCTTTCTGTGTGAACATTGAATGTTATATACATGTAGGCATGAAGATAGCTGGCTATGCACTTTAGAAGTGCATAGTCAACTTCAGCATCTTTGTGCATGAGCATGTTCTGCACTGTATACAATATTTGCTATCAAAACCATGTTGGTGTGACAATCATACCAGCGCTAGGCACGTATGAGTGTCATAGGCATATTTTGCCTTGTCCAGAGGAAAAGAGTAAGGTGCTAGTAACCAGTGCTATTCAGCACCCAAGCTATCTGCTTTGGAACCACTTTTCTCCCATAGCATGCTACCCAGTCTGATGCCTAGGTATTCCATCCTCCCATGTCCTGCCTATGTCCACCTACCTCTGCTGGTGCATTATTTTTCCTTAACTGTCACTACTCATCAGTTGCAGGTCTTATTACATATGTCCTCGTGTTCTGCAGCACTGCATGTTTTATTACCTGTTGCTACATCATGCCCTCACCAGTGTTGCTACTATACTTGCCTACGCAATCCCAAACTCCTACATAGTATGATAAAATGACCCATCCTACATACAGTACAGTACTTTCCTTCCCCAGACCTTTACTGGTGTAGGAGTCACTTTAGTCGCTATATCCTAGTTTTAGTGCAATCAATTCCGCTCTTGCCAAACTCTTTGATCGCGTGTCGCTTGACTTGCTTTAAGTGTGCGTTGCTAAAGTTCCCTCTTAAGGTTTGACTTTCACAGTGTCGGGATCACTATCAGTAGTCGAGCTATAATCTAGTCACTATCGGGCATTCCACTTGCACTGTCTTACCTTACTCCTCATTTTTGCTCCCTTTGATTTCTTCTCGCTGTCGCTAGTCAGACGTCGCATAGCGCTATCGCATAAAACAACTTGCATAGTGCCTCTCACTTATATGCATGTTTCTCTTGTCAGAACCCACTTGTCGCTAGTCACTGATCACTATAGCGCTACTCATCATTTTTTTTTGGTCTTAGGTCACTATAGGTTATTAGTCCTTCGTGCTATCGCTCCCCTTGCATATTAGTAGGGAGTTGCTTCATTAGCAGTCCTCTTGGGTTGAATACTACACTCGCACCTATTTGGATAAGTAGTGCTAGTTTCTAGCAAGCCTAGTCGCTATTTCTCTTTCACATCAGTCATAGCTTAAATTAGATATAGCACTCTAAAACATACCTTAGATATATCCAGGTACTTGTTACCATCTGAAAAACTGATGTTTGTAACACAGTCAAAATGGTTCAGGTTTCACCATTGTGGGAAGGCATCAAACCTGTAGAGTAAACAAAATATGAGACACAGATGAAATAAGGATGTAAAGAGACTCACTGGTCATCAGTTGTCTTCTCAGCAGCACGTCCAAGTGCTTTCAGGTGGGCCTTGACTTCCTCAAACATGTGATCACCAAATAAACCACTGTTGTAAGCATGCAAAGTATCTTGCGAGAGTGCTTCATGTGGGCTGGACCATTCAACAATCCATAAGCAATTCTGATGGTTGAGACTATTTAAACTTGAAAGTGAGAAAGTTGAATAAATCACTCACATCGACAGGCCTTAGACTCTGTCTTTTTAGTGCTGCCTCACCAGCAGTACAGTCCACAACCAGACACAAGCTTGTGCATCTTTGACAGTGCATGTAGGGTATATCATAGAATGGTCAGTGAGTTTGTCCTTCAGGACAAGGCAAATGGGGCAGGGACATGCAGAGTTGAACCCTCTTATCAGGGCCATCACACACCTGATAAAATAAATAACAGAAACAATATTAATCTAATCACACACTGCTCTTCATAATTGGCCAATAAAATTAGTATTAGTGGAAACAACCAGTGTAGAATTCCATCATAGCATTGGTGTGCAAAGCCAGTTTTGGAGATGAGACTGAGGGTTTCAAGGAGAATCATACATGATTTGTGCCACATGACCTTCTTTAAATTTGAATAAGACAGCTTGCCATCTGAATCTGAATCTGCAGGAACCTGCCACAAGGGCAAAATGATTAAGTGTGAATTGAAGTCTTCAAGTGTTGCAAGGACTTACTATTGGCAACCAACCCACCAAGCATCCTCCTCCAGGACCATTGACATTCCTGATATCAACAGGCAGATTCCCACAGTGCACAATTACTGGGTATGTCTTGACATTACCAGCTGTTAAGGTCACATGCTCAAGGGGGTCGGATCACAAGGGCTTGGCCTCAGCTTGTACGCTGTGCCCCTTTCCTGAGTATGTGCCCTTAATTTCCGGGGGCTAGAACAGTCATCTGGAGTTTCCAGGTTTTGACTAGGGCAGATAATGGACGTCCAGATCTGAAACATGAGATAAATCTGATGGACGTCCAGATGTTACCTGGGCAAGTGGATAAGACTAATCCGGATGAAGTCCGGACTAGAAACTAACAGAGGATGGACTACCCTTAAGGTAGAGTTGGAAATGTAGTCTAGGATGCAATCCTAAGACTTGGAATATGACAAGAGACTTATCTCAAGTCCGGAGGACACAGGAATGAGCAGGAACTAAGATGATATTTGAACTGGGGTATTTCCGAGAGTTACAGGAGGTTTATATACTGTAGGTATCATATAGGAATCAGTCAGCAAACATAAAGGCTATGTACGAAGCATATGCAGAGTCTATTAGTAAGTAGGACGGATCACAAATAATGAACACCGGAAATGAAATGTATGTAATGGATCAATAATCAAAAGGGAAACATGGTTAACTGGAGTCCAGAGACAGGGGCAGTCTAAATGGAGTTGGGTGCTGATATAGGGTTTGGATTCTGGAAGGGAGATAAAGATAGATCAGATCATTTGAGATCCAGATCTTGGATCTGGATATCTGGAGAAGCGGATTTAGAGTTGAGAGTCTGGAATGGCATATGACACCAGCTGAAGAAAGGTGCATTTTGTCAGTGTACAGTATAAATGCAAACAGTGCACTGTTTTGAGGTAAAGATGTCTTAAATGTACACTTTAATTAGTCACAATGTCATAAGAAAAATGGAAAGCTTACTTGTAAGTTCCACCAGTGGTCTCCTGTCCACAGCTCATGTAAGAAGCATTCAAAATCTATTCCATTGTGTTTATATAGTCGCTGCACATCCCAAATGAACTGCAGTGCTAGCAAGGGGTTGTCTAAGAGGTCCAATGCCCAGTCCCATAGTGGTCATGAATATACTTCATACTTGATGTTTCCCTTCTTATACTTAACAAGTATGACATGTCTTTCAAACTGTTACAATATGGTTATGTATACATGCAAAATTTGACATTATCCTATTACTCTTACAGGAGTTAGTTGGCCAGACACCCTAGTTCATGCAGCTGACACATCATTATGTGTTTTGAGGGTGAACTTGATATGACCATCTGCAACTCTCCAGATGAACTTGAGTAGTTCATTAGTTTGGTCTTTGCTCAAGGCAGCTTGGTGCACGAGTTTGGCAAATTTGAAGTCTACATGACAGCTCAAAGGTTGTCATGGCTCATCATCAATAACAGATGACTGTGTCATCTCCAATCTATTAGTCCCATAAATGGAAAAGCTCTCAATGATTGGAGCACGACCACTGTGAGGGTGATATTCAGTCTTGAATGTGTCAAGACAAGCCAAGGTAGTTGCTGTGGCTGCTGAAATTGGTGTGTGGATGCTATTACCCATACTGATATCAGAGTCAGAACCTGACTCATGTTTAGATATTGGTAAAAAGAAATGAGAAAGTATAATACAGACATAGCCATGAATCTCCCCTGACACTCTGCACATCATTGAGGCCTTCAAGGCCTGCATCATCATAATGATAATGTGAATCTGCTGCAGCCAGTGAATCAGTTGCTGAACCAGCCTCCTGAACTACTAGTGTGGTATCTTGAGCTGCCTCATGAGCACACCTCTTATCATGGTGATGTTCTGATGAATTAGAGTTGATGATTTTTGAACATTATAATCAGCAATTGAAAGTGATTTAGATGACATTGAAACATACTAGATTTTCCTTCCTTCAAAATTGACTTTACTGCAGCCCAGGAAAACTCTCTATCCTCTTTCTTCTTTTCCTTCCATGACAGGCAGCTTTGCTCATGTGATTTGAGGCCTCAGGATGTATATAGTATGCTACAATACTGACAAGCAACCTTGATAGACGATGCCAAAGAGTAGGTATATTTGCACCCTCCTGTGGATCTCTGGGGAGCCATTATTGGTATATTAGAAACAGTATAGACAGATGAAACAATTTGAGGTGTCATTCAGAAAGAGATCTTCGATGATGAAGATCAGTCTTAATACTAATAAGGCCTAATAATACAAATGATTGGTGATGTTGTCTCAGACAAGTGAACTTTACTACCACTTGCTGCAGATTTGACAAATAATAAGATCCATTTCATTGCAACATGACTGGCAATATCAACGTCCATGCATTCTATGTTGAAGGGGCTACTGCTGCGTCTTATCGGATTGGGGATTCAATTGCCAATATCAGCCAACTGAGAGCCTCTCTCCAATGCCATGCTGCACTCAAGTTTGACAGAGAATTGTTACAACCACCTGAGATTCACCCTGACCCAAATTCTGTCCTTCTCACTACAAGTAAGCATGTTTCTGTCAACATGAATATTCATTCATGTTGCCTCCAGATATCCATGGTACTGCCATGCTTGAAGATAACTTGATGACCCTCGAGAGTGTGTGATTTGGCAAACCACATTCTTGCTATCATTCCCTCCTAGCAGTTACAACCCTCAGATTCTCCCTCACTCACAGCAACCATGACTCAAACCTTGGTGAGTCCCGCCCATATGAAGCATCAAGAGTTGATCAACCTGGTGCTATCACTGAACAATGCCCTGAAATTCAAGGATCAGATGAGGATTGAACAACAGGCTCAATTTCAGGAGACAGTGCAGGCATTTAAATGTAATCAACTGCAGAGGGAGGAGGATACAAAACCAAATTTCCAGTGATACACCAAAGATGTAGAGTGACAGTTGAAGGACAATCAGCATCAAACCAACATTCTCAAGCAAGAACGCAGCCTTAACCAATCATGAATCAAATTCTTAGAGGACAGGTAAGAAGAAGACAGATCATGGATTAAGGACCTGGAGGGATTGCTTCTTGAGGAGAAGAAGATCAGGATGGAGGAGAAGGAACATAGTGGGAATGAGATGATAGCCATGCTAACGAGGATCAAGGAGATTGAAGATGAGCATATTGCAGCTACTGGGTGGGTCAGCGGTGTGGTAAGTATCACATATTTGATGCAATAAGTGATGTTTGAACCATTGGTTAGGATACCAATCTCATGGATCACATTTTACTCTGCCACTTACTTGATCTCATGCAAGCAAAGCTAGCCACCATGTCTGGACTTCCCAAATGCAAGAATATCCTCCATTGTCCTGCATGATTTGGGAATCATGCATGGACATGACTACTAGGTAGCCCCCTAAAAGACAAAGTCTGTTAGCTTAGGCATCAGGCTAGTCAACCCATACCTTGGTTTCAAACCTTGGTCAAATAGTTCAGTTTCCCCTCTGTGATTCATGAATTTATTATATCTTGAAGAAAAGTCATTTGTGAGATGGGAATCACATAATGACCTAGTTGATATTGTGAAGCAAGAAGGTTAAGGTATTGCCTTGCCTTTGGCTTATTCACTTTGGCTAGAGAAAACCATAGAGAAAAGTTCAAACCCTAACAAAAACCTATCTAAAAAGCCTGTGTTTTGTGTCTTGTTATTGTATTATTATTTCTGAGTTGTTTTCTCTAGTATTTCCTTGATTTATTTTTCTATTGGGATGCTCTGACCCATCAGATACTTCACAAAATTGTACCTACAGGGTATGATGTCATTTGTTCTGGAATGTTCTGCTCCACAACGACTCACCTCTGATGTCATTACTCCACCTATGGAATATTCTGGAATGTTCTGCTCCACTTCTGATGTCATTGCTCCGCTTTTTTACTTACATAATATTCTCACACAATATGTATATAAGGAGGGCCCATTCTCCCCCAAAAAATAGGATCTCCCACTTGCAATCATTTGAATCTCAGTTTGAGCTACTCACTGTGAAGATTGTTGCTTACAAAGAAAGCCCCTTTGAAGTACCAAGTGCAGGGAAAAGACATTCCCTTGAGATTACATAAGTTTCTTATGATAGAAACTTAGTTTATTTGAGACCAGCTTCTCACCTAGTTTCGGATATTGACCAACATGAGCTTTGGTCAATCTGTTCATTTGTGAGACCAGTTTCTCACCACTTTGTGCCTATTTGACCAACCAGTCTTTGGTCAACATATTCGTATTTGAGACCATAGTCTCTACAGAGGGTTATCTTAACAAGGAACCACATTCCAGTGTCTAGACAGTTTATCCTAGACAAGTTTATAAGTTGGGATAAAACACAAAAGCTCTGGCTAAGTTAATTACATAGATTGGTTTAGCGAGCCTCCCAAGAACTCACACATTATCTACCACAAAAGAAGAAAAGTTGTAGACCATGTTAATCGAGGACTGGCAAGAAGTCTTATCCTAGTGTAATTGTGGTGTCATTACATTTTACACACATTTATATAAGACCCTTGGTTATTAAGACACCATGTTATGCAGTCACTCCTCTGGAGAGAGGCACTGGCTTCCTCCAAGACAAACACTGAGCATTTGCAAACTGCCCATACAATGTTAAATGCACCAGGGTTGTCCCTTGACGCTGACATGAAAAAATTCATCCTATTCCACACTGGGATGAGTCTTGTGGTCCAGAAACCATCAGAGATATGTGAAATGGGAGACAATGTAGCGCACCCAAAGAATGTATCAAAGGAAGCATATAAAAGAATAATCACGTGGACACACTATCACTGATAATCATGCCAGACTTCATGCTATCTTGGAGTATGTCAATCCTGTACCCCAGTCCAGCTAATTTCACTTTCCTTCATTGGTGCATGTTACAAGTACAAGTAGGTATTACCAATGTACTATCAGTAGATTTTTGGTCATGTTGTGTTAATCCATCACTGTCAATTTTTCACATGAAGTACTGAGACTTTCTGAGACATTGTCAATGGGCTTGGGCACAACTTGAACTTCATGTGAGCCACTTTAGAAACCCTTGCAAGATTCAGAACACAAAGTTGTTTCCCTAGCAAATTACCAAAATAAGGTCACTTCCCTTGCAATACACTACAAATAGGTCACTTTCTTTTCAATATGCTAATAATAGGTCATGCTTCCTTGGAAGGGTCTTCCATTGTGGATGCAATATGGTTAAATCATGTCTCAATTTAGAAGCCTTGCAAGGCACCTATGGGAATTTCCGACATACAATACCATAATCAAAATCCTGTCACTCTGCAAAGACATTATAAACCTTCACATAATATCACACAATGGCACTAACAATATCCTTCCTGACCTTACATCTATAAACCACATCCTAGATACCTTCCCACACACAGCCCTTTGTTTGAAGATCAGATCATCACTCACTGAGTTTTCCATGGTCATGGTGAACACATTTGCTAGACTCACACATCTTAAGATCAATGATGCAGAAATGCTTTGGCATGTTGACATAGGCACCTTCACCCACTTGACCCACCTGGCACTTTGGACTGACTTCTTCAACAATAATCCAAATATACCAAAGATGGTCAAATGTCTTCTCCAACATGCAATCCTGAAAGTCCTTGTTTTTAAATTGTAGATCCTCACATCATCATTAGACCTTCAAAAGTGTTTGAATGAGATCTGTTATGATTAAGCTAAGTCTGCAGCAGGCAAATAAAACAAGTGAGTAACATAGAACTTGGATGGGGGGCTTGCACCAAGCCTGCTACGACTAGCAAGGCCTCCAATGGTATGAGGACACAGCATGTATCAGTCTAAGCTTAGATTGGTCAACAATTCTAACAGCTTGTCATCAATCATACTCTTCTCAAGGCTAAGGACATAGACAATGACAAGCTTCTATGAAAGTACTTGATAAAGAGTGAAGCTTTGCTTAGGGCTTCAAAGAAAGATAGCTAGAACCAAGTAGATTCAAGTTAAGGAATACAAGTGCTACCCAAGAGGTATATATACCATTGGAAGGGATAAGGGTAAGTCTGCCAAATTAGTGGTAAGGGTAGAGGGGAAGCAAGTCACAATAAGTCAGAATACCAAAGTAAGTAAGAGTACTGGTTGAGCAGTAAGGGTAAAGGGAAAACAAGTCAGAATGCCAAAGTAAGTAATGGTGCCAGTTAGGCAGTAAGGGCATAGGGTTGGTGAATCATTGGACAAACCAAGGAAATGATACAACTTTCAGAATGATTGGTGAAGGCAATGTAAGTAACAAAAAGAGGAATGAGCTAGAAAAGGCAGTAGGGCAATTGCCTGAGGATAGAAGGTCCAGCAAGGTGTGAGAAGTAGGGAAAAATAAATAGGGGCTAAACTAGTGGATGTTCTTGTAACAGGATCATTTTGGACATGCTTCTATGTTACTCTGGGAACTCACAGTTGCTTCTCCAACAGCACTTTTGAAAATTGATTAGGGATTTCATGGCTCTTCCTGAGGTACCTAAATGCAATGTAGACTGTGAGCTCATCCAGTGTTTTGTAGTTGTGGCTTCAGCAGATGGATCAAGGCAATCCATTCTGGTAAGCAATGAGTCCAGTGATGACTCCTCAAAGGAAGATTTCAACCTACATACACACTTCATATATTGAACATCAGCTGGCCCACAGCATGTGCACCTATGATATGAGAAATGACATGATATAATATTCAAATATTATGTCAACTATCATTTTACTCATGTCCCTTGAACTTCATGATGATGAGTTCCAGCATCATCTGTAAGTTTTGTTATTCTCTAATTCATCCAGAGTCCTGTCCCTCATTTCTTGTTGCATCCTTGCTCTCCATGGGAGCAAAAGTGCAGTTTGCTCTGACACTTACTGTGTCTCATTTACTTCTCTTCTTTGCTCTCTATTGCTATCACTCATTTCCCCCATTGCTTCTGTGTCCTTGCATCTACCAAATTTTGTAACTTAAGCTGATGAATAATAGGTACATAGGTTATCTCAGTGTCAATACAAACACACTACCTGTGTCAGGCTAGTGAGACTAACAGAAGGGCAAGCTTGTCATCATAGTACATGTGATCAAAAGGTGTTGACATATTTTTTTTTCTGTTTTGCATCTAGTGCATGCCAGTAGTTGAGTATGGTTACATGTCACCCTTCTTTAACTCCTTTGATACTGACCATGATTCAGGTAAAGATCACCAGGCAAGGATAGGATGACTACAATGTAGAACCTAATTTCTTCCATAGAATGCATTGAGTATGTGCAATATTATTGACATTTGGACAACCACAGTTTAAGTTTAATACAAAAAGGCATTTGAGAATTGTACAATATATTGAAAGCATCACAACTACTCATTCCCTAGATGACTTTGATGCACTACAGCTGCTACCTTAGTTCTTCACACCTGAGTTTGGCATTCTTGCTGACTTCCCTTATGTGTTCAAGGACACTGCTCCACCTTCCTGATATCTACCTCAAAACTTTGCCTCTTCTGCTGATCAACATGGCAGAGTTAAATGAGTGATGACCTTGATTGATCAGCATGGACAAATAATTTATAGTGGAGTTTAAATATGGATGTGGGTATAGTGGTAATTTTGGATGAAGTGGACCATCTTGCTTCTGGCCAAGATGCATTCTGTGGCCACTTCACCTAGGAGTAACAATGCCCTGTTAAATGTACATTCACTGGAAATTCCTGATGAATGGACTGCAGGTCACTTTGCCAAGAGATATTCAGCCACAACATGCATCAGGAGTCAACAAATTATCATTGGCCCTGGTTATTTTAGCATTGTAAGATATTTACATGTAAGAAGGTCTGACAATATACCAATGATGTCACATTACATGCAAAGATCAATATACTTGACTGTGCTGTGCAACAAAAATAACATCTGGCCTCAGTGCATAAGGAAGTTCAAGAGATATACAGTATCAGTAAGCATTGTATCTAGTTATGTGCATCACACAATGTATCTACTAGTCCACAAGGCATCTCTTCAGATATTTCAGCTCATGCTCCAATTCTATACAAGCTTCCTCAGCCCTGCAGTGTATGTCCTGCATTTCAGCCAGATGTCACTCAACATCCTTCAACTCTGCCTCTAGTCTCATCTGTACCATCTCATCTAGCAGCTTGTTGATCCAGCAAGATGGCTGGTTATCCAAAGTGATAACTTTGTCAGAGGAATCAGAATATTGAAACTCTGAGTCAGATTTGTCATCAGAGTATGGATTTTTGACCTCTTTCTCAACAACTGAGCCATGTATGTGTGAGTGTAGAATTGAAACATAAGGAAACAAGAACTTACTATTACTACACCTG